TGTCGTACTTTCAGCACGAACTTCCATTGTGGAAAGATGTATGGAAGATCAAGAGGGAGTTTGAGCATTCAATCGTACGACACCTCGCCGGGAACGTGAGCCACACAACGGGCCAGAACCGAAAGCGGAACAAACCATCCGCCCAGCTCGGGGCGCCCACGAAAGAAGTGCTGGACATCATGAACAAGATCAAGCCCAGACATCCGCGATCCCTGACGACCGAGCATGCCACCCAAGGATCCAAGAGGAAGGCAACAGAGAGCGAAGGTGACGGTCTTGGTCAAGTGCCAGACCCGAGCCGAAGCTCTCAGCCCAACGTTGAGAAAGAAGAGAAGAAGCAGCGAGTGATTGATGGGCGGAGAGCGGCACTCGGATTCCTAGTTTCAATGGAAAAGTGCATGGGAGAGATGGGAATTTGCATGAGATGCGCGAACCTGGCCCACGACGGCGACTGCAAGAACTATGAGGAGGCTGCTGGGAATGAGAAGGCGATGAAGAAGATCCGTGAACTTCTCAGCAGCGATCATGTTTCCTCGGATGAAGAAATGAGGGATACGGAAGAGCCGTCCTCATCGACGTCCAAGGAACGCAAGAAAGGGGGACAAGAAGGGAGAGAGACAATAGAAATGTATAGCTATACCATCAACCTGGTGGAGATGGCTGACACGGCTGAGGGAGGAGAGCTACAATGCGGTGGCGTGGACCTCACCTACAATCCGTGCGGGGACAACAGAACGTTCAAGACGACGCTAGAGCGAGGATGTGACACCATCCCATGCTACATCCCGAAGTACGGCGACGTGAGTGATGTGCATATGCCATGGGCGTACGCGTCTATTGTTGACCCCAAGTACTTTCCCAAGGGTGCCAACCTTGAGCAGGTGGATGTTATGCAGCTTGGCAAGAGCGTCAATTTCTGCGTTGCTCCTTTTGACGGTGCTCCACTATGCAAGATTGGCGACGATCGCTCGGTATTTGCTACGAAAGATCAAGCAAACCAGCTATCTCACAACCTATGCAGAGTCCTTCGGCACAAAATCGGCAATTGCCGGGGAAGTGTTTTCAGATGCGATGAAGGTGGATGGGTCGACATCGACGCAGTCATTGACGACCGAAATAACGACATATTCCCACCTTCAACTTCGAGAGCAAAACGATACATGGGCATCATGGAAGTGATCAAGTGGCAGGAGTCCGGACAAAAGAAATCGAGGTTTCAGGTCCTGGCAGCAAGGTTTCCAAGCGTCATGAACCCGAATGACATGAAGGCGGCCAGGGAGGAGATGAACTATGCTGGCCTGGATCGGGATGACATCGACAGGATGTTCAACAGATGCGATGGATGGTACAGGCCTTGGTGCATCCGAGTCACAACTGGTCACAGTGATTTTGGATTCATGAGCTCATCCGCACTGGCAAATAGGTATTCCGCAAGAATGGGTGATTCTCTCGGAGGAGCATTCCATGTGACGTATGTGGAGAACCTGCCAAGCATCGTACGCTGTGGGCTAGTCCCCGGCGGGATCGATGGCGGAAACAGGCTAGCATTGCACTTCGGAGCATTTGCTCCATGGGATGAGATGAACGTAGCAACGAAGGTGACGCTACGAAACGTAAGGTCGGGGGATCCGATTGCGATCATCTACATTCCCAGTGCAACCCTCGCGCGGTATGGAGCTGGAGTCGCGGCAAATGGTACATTCATGGTCTTTGACGTGATCCCGTTCTATGAGGTCAAGTCCATTTGGATTGGCAAAAGCAACGGAGGGAAACGCCTGGAGTACGGGGACGTTAAGCGAGCGTACTCAAAATGTGTGGAAAACGAGATCTGTCCGGGTTTCGTCAACTCCTCCCAGGAATCGGCTGCGATGTTCCTCCAGAACGTCGCGAAGATCAACGAGAGGATGCCTGAGACCGAGGCAGGTGCCGACAATCTGCACTACATCAAAGACATGGTTGATCGTGCATGCAAACTGTTTCGGGAAAACAAGTTGGAGGAGTTTGATGCGCAGACCAACGAGGTCAGGGACGAGATCAGCAAAGTCGTCATCCTGAATGACGAGACATGGGAAGGACTGAGGTGCCGGATATGTCCGTCATGTGCGACCGCGATTCCCACATGCTTCTGTGTGTGCCTGGAATGTGGAGCGCAATTGATCTCTACCGGGAGATTCTACATCCACATCAGTTCCGACGACGACGAGGGCAACCAAAGGCCCAATGTCTCGGGTGATGCCAGGCGCGCGCAAGACGAAGCCAACCATGATGCGGCAGCACAGGAAGAGGATGATGAGGCGGAGGACGTTCCTGAAGAAGACGACATGGACACGCAAGGATACACGTCCGGCTACATGTCTGAGGAAGAAGATGGCGGTTGGCAACACCGCGACAATGACTTGGCATCGCGGGATATCATAAACACCCAGCGGATGGCGATTTGCCTTGATGAGCCGCGCGAAGCTCAATACATGGCGGGATTCATCGCACTGCAGATGTCAAAGATGTGGGGGATGTTCGAAGGTGGTGAAAAGAGAACGGTCGATGCCGCGCTCGAAGGGAGGCTGGCCCATACCACAACGACTTCGCGAAGTACCCCAACATGACTGAGCACGATCAGGAAGGGATCCTGTTGCCGTCAACGGTCCAGAAGATTAGCCAATCTCAGAATGTTCGGACAAGGACCTTCCGGTCGGCTGAGGAGCGTGATGAATACATTCGTCTGATGGTATGCAAGTGCGAGGGGCTATACATATTCTACAAGCTGTGGATTGCAGCGAGAATCCTCGACGTCACCAAGGACGAAATGAAGCTCCTGGTCAAGGATCGCGTGCACCCGGTGGGTGATATTATTTACAGATGCTTCTCCCTGGCTTTCAACTGTGAATATATATCGTTCGTAAGGGATGGCTTGAACCTTGGCAAATATGGTTATTCGGTAAATGTGAGCGCCATTATTGCAGCCACTGACCCGAATAAATGCGACACACCTCTGCTGGATTGGTGCCTCCGAATGGGGCATTGGATACCAGAAGATCATCACAAGAAGTGTGTCCGGGCGCGAGAAGCCCAAAAGAATTTGGACGAAGAGTTCCGTCGACGTACCCACAGACTGTCCATTGGAGACAGGTATGCGTAATGCAGATGTTGATTGCGGCACGATGTGGGCTAGTCCCCATCTGTTGCTTGCGTCTCATCAACGTCATTGCGATGGAACGACTCTACATCATGATATGATTTCATGCGTCCAAGATGAATGGATGTGTATACATTTACATATTCCGACGGCTATGACATTCCGGATATTCATGGATGGAACTATTACCTCATGGATGATTTCTTTTCCATTATATATATTATTCATGGTACCTGGAATGGCTATGTTTTGCATGTATTGCTCGCCAAATCTTCTTTGCCAATGGCATTCAGATGGCACATGACCGTGCGCTGCTATGGATTTCTATGGCCAACCCATTTCTGTGGATGACGGCTGCGCGATGCGCAAATGCGGCAGCCGGGATTTCAAGTGGTTGCGTATTGGCCAGAGGCAAAATGTCTCTTGCATCTGAGTATAGGAATGTGCTACGATTTGCGGATGCATGTTTCTGCCTTAATTGGACCTGGCAAGTTTCACAATGAATGGACGGTGTAGCAATAGTGAGTGAAAGAGTGTTCGACACAGTTTCGTAGCTGAAGCCGTGGCCAGTGGAACGTTTTGTGGTGTTTGGACCGCATGATGAACAATGCGACCCAAATGGGGGATGTTAAAACCCTCCTGGCCCCGTGCCTAAATTGGGAAGCAGTTCTGAGGTCCGTGTTTGTGTTGCTTACAGGGTTCCATTGATTGCCATTTGGCTCAAGTCACAAGTGAGGTTCAAGATCTTATGTGAAGCTGCGTTCATACGTGATCGGCAATTGAGAGCGGAAAACACTTCGCTTGCGCTGCATTTGTCAGGACCACTGTTGTAACTATTATTCCTTCTCCCTTACAACATTTACACGGGTTCGGCTATAACGGTTTGACCGTATACACCTTTCTACGTGGTTGGTATTTACAGCTTGAGGGTTCGGTGGACAGCGTCCCACGGGACGTCACCTTGCCGTCTCTTGACAGTTTGCATGTGCGATTGCCGCACGGATCGTAGCCGGCTGAGCCTCGAGTTTTCATTAGCAAAAAGGAGCCCGCGCCGCAGCAAGCGGGATTTGCCAAGGCCAGTTACCCAGCTTCCAGGCAACCAACTATTGTTATTGGTGAGTTGTTTGCTCGTCGAAACTCGCTTGGCTGTAGTTCTTCTGAATTGATTCGTCGATGGAAGACATCCCGCAACAGTTGATAGGTGGTTTATCCCAGTATGGATCCATCCCAACTGGTACCGGGCTTTGTCCATCCACAGAACCAAAAACTATTGTTTTTGGGCCATAGCCCAAGTTGAGCCAGGCTTCCTTGGCCGGACACGCAATGCACGGAGCAGGCGACGCTCAAGTAAACTTAGCACGTGGCCCCCCCCCCCCCCACACGTTTTAGATTGCGTGCCAGCTGCAGAAAGCAGCCAAGGCAATGCAATTGTGTTTGCAAATCATCGGCTTTGCTTCCTCAAGCAAGGATGCTAGATATGCATTTTGACAAAGGTGCGGACAGGAGCACTGGAAAGCACAACTTGGAATTCATGTCGGTTTTGCTTCCGCCAAGTTTGCCTTGCTTTGCCTTGAGCTATAAGCCCTTGCGAGGGCTTGGGGGGCCTGCGCAGGGCCGCAAATGCCAAAGCCAGCAAGCTTGGACGACATGTTCATGTCGTACCTGCCCAGAACTGGCCTTTTTTTGTGGTTGCCCAGTGAGAAAAGGGTAGCCTTTTGCTTCCAGGTCTTTTGGGCAAGTAAGTAGGGCATTTTTGAGGCAAAGAGGTCTTGATTTTACTAGATGAGGCATTTTGTTCGTTTGTCCAAGTTTGGTCCATTGGTCCATTGGAAGCACGGCAATCGTTGAATTCTTCAAGTCAGCCCAGGACAAGCTGATTGACAAGTACGCGGAACAGCTGCCAGTTCTCTACCAGGCCATGCCTTGTTGCTTCGCTCCATGTGGGTGAGGAGGTTGTCCCTTGCCTTCAGGCCAGGATTCGAGGCTAAGCTGTGGTTTTTCGTGTCGCCCAGCAGGGCCTTGTTGCAATTGACTGGCTTTTTGTTTCGGGCCACCAACAAAAAACGGCTTTGCGAAGCCGCCCGAATTCTTTCGAAAGTGCCAGGGCCAGCAACAAACACCTTCTAAAACCCTGCGAAGCCCCGAGCCCGAGTTTTCAAACCGACTTGACCAAGCCAAGTATTTGGCCAATGATATGTCTCCAGTCGGCCAAGGCAGCAAACTAAGGCATGCAAGCGCGGAACGGGACACTTCAGTCGTCGTTGAAGCTATTTTGCTTGGGTCGGACTACGTGTGTGTGTGTGTGTGAAGTGAGGCAGCGCGTACTTCTTTGCACGTGCGCGGGTCGGCACATGCCCGCACTCATCATGCATTATTTTGCGCTTTGTTCGGGGAGCCAAATGGCTTGCAATCATCTTAGTAAGCAGCCAGGTCTTCCAGTGGCACCCTTTGGCCCTGCTTGGCCCAACGAAAACGAACCAAAGAAAAGGCAAGCCCCTTTTTATGTAGGGGGGACCGCTAGGCCAGCATCCTTTTATTTTGCAAGGGTATCAAGTGCCGAGCACCGGCGCCAGTCGATTTGCCAGAAGTACGATGTCAAGAGTCTTGGCGCACTTGGGTTGTCCAATGAGTGATTTTCACGTGCAATAGTTTAACGGCACCTCGCTGAAATACTTGGGGTCACTCGGCGGGGACAGTTCCCTTGTTGGATTGTGAGCATGAGGCTTCAGCCAAATGGGGTCCCATCATTGGCACATGGCAGCAAGTCACTAGTTAATTAGTTTTGAGAAAACAAACGATTGGCTTGGCCTAACGTTTGTCTTGCCAGGACAAACAAAGTTATGGCCGTCTACGGAACCTTTGTTTTTGTTTCTCTGGAGAAACAATTGTTTCTTCCGAACTCATGCTTATATTCTTCTGTCGCATGTGCGGAAACGTTGTTTTCCAATAGAGGAACAAACGTTTTTCGAAAAACGTGTTTTTCCGGGACGGCCGCTGGCACGTCTCCGGCTCCGCCACAGCGACTGGCTTCGCCACTTTTGCTGCTCCTCCGCAGCCACGGCCACTGGCTCCCTATGTGACCGATATGTGGTGTTTGTGCGTGTTGTATGCATTGTCCGCATGATTCCTACGAAATTGTTAGCCTTTCTTCGTGTTACTGTGCATGTGGCATGCGTTTCTGTCTGCACTTTTGGTGCAGCCGGTATGCAGATGAGTGCCGGAGCTGAGCTGGGGCGGAGCTGAGCAGATGAGAGCCGGATTGTCGCTGGCCCGAACCAGAGCCGAGCCGAAGGCGGAGCCGAGGCGGAGCGGAGGTGGATCGACACGAGAGCTGGCTGGATGGGTGCTGGAGAGAGCGCGCGATTGCAAGCAACGGTCTCACAAAGCCGAACAACAGCCTGATAAAGCGGGAGGGTTTGGGGGGGGGGCGCAGCCCCCCCCATGAGAAGGAGAACAGCTAATAAACCCTACCTGAGGCCCCTAAAATCTTCACCACTTGGAGAAATGGTGGTTTCATTTGAAAATCTGTGCACCAGATCGGTTCGTCAGCGCCAGAACGGCTTTTAGAACAACAAGGTGATTTCGCAACACACATGTTTAGTTTTACGTCAAGTTGTACGGCATGCGAACAGCTTTGAACGGGTTTTGAACGCTTTACGAGTAGTATTTCCAACACCGAATCCTAGGCACGGCCCAGGACATGACGCAAAAAGAACGTAAACATGCACTGGACTACGCGAGAGTAACGTGATTGATGGACTCCCAACAAGCGACGTCAGCAACACAAGTCTGCAAACCCGAGCGGTTTTGTTGCACCAGTTTCGATTCCACATTAAGAAGGCAAAATGGTATTGTCCTGAAAAACGATCAAATTCAACATTTTTGGGGCAGCGGGTAGTAGAGAAAGCACGCGGTACTAACAAGAAAACAGCACCCTCCCCCCATTCCAAGCAACAATCCGCACTCCCCACCCCCAACAACAACCCCCGTTGTTGTTCGAGCATCCCCCCCAACCACAATCCTGAGTAAGTACTCCCCCCCCGCATTGTTCGAACGATCATAACCCCCTCCCCCTTACGTTCCGACAATCACCTCCCCCTCCCCACACAACAGTTCCCGCCGCCCAATGGTTCTTCTCCGCCGGGGGGGGAGGGGGTTATTGGTTGAGAAGGCTTGTTGGAACCATGATCCACCCCCCCCCCCCCCGAGGCCAAAAAGGTTAGTTTTCACCTGGAAAAAAATAATTTTTCCAGCTCTAGAACCTTTGTTTTCGAGCCCCTCAACTAATTTTTGTTTTTTTTCCGGCCAGGTAAACCATTGTTTTTTCCTTGAGAAAACAAACTTTCTTTGTCTCGGCCGGCGCCCTGTCACTGAGTTTCACACACAGGGTTTCCACCTGGACAGGGTTTCCACCTGGGAAACCAACGTTTGCTACTCTAGTTAAGAAACTTCTGACTCGCTCCATACTCATCATTGAGGGGATATATCTCTCGACCCTTTTCGCCCACTTGACACGGATTTCTACGGAGGTTTTGTATTCTCTCTTCATGTTTCAATACAGGAAAGGGGTTCCAACAGCAAAGCCGCACCCAATACTTCAGCCCCAGTTCCTGCACCAAGTGTTTACCTTGTAAGGTTTCACATGACACTGGCTGTCGTATGCTGCCTGCCTAAGACACAGCTGGCTGCCCGTGCAGCTGTCACCTCGGAATGCCACCATCACCTGAAGTGGGTGATTTCCCGTTGGCGTCCAGAAGTACGCAGTATGTGTCGTGCCACCGTTTCCATTGTTCACAGTGCCCCCCAAGCAATGGCTTCCTTTGACAGTAGAATATTGGAAGGGCGGCTTCCCTATTTGCCAGGTTTTGTGAGAGGTCGAAATCCCTGCTATCATCCATTTACATGGACATGGCAAAGAAAACTCATTGTCCGTGAACGGCGGCTTTGGTAGCTTGTTGTTTTGGACCCCATGAAAGCCACAAAATGAGTTTTTTGTGATGTGGAGCACTCAGCTGCAAGTGGCTTCCTCCAATGGTGGGGAATACAGCAGATGAACAGCGATGTGCAGTTTGCTTTCTCGTCGCTGTGGCCCTTTGCATTTGGCCTTTCGGAAGCTTTTCTTCTGCCTGCTCAATCCGCAGCTGATTTTGCATTTGATCTTCGAACTTGTCTCACTTGGTTCTTTTCTTTGACGTTGAAGCTTTCAGCTTTGTTTTAGGGGGAAGAGTTCAAAGGGAAGTCAGAAAGAAAGCCACCCCCCTCTGAGCTTTTCCCTATGAGGCCGGCGCCGGAGCTCGCGGAGGCTGGCGTGGGCTCGGCATGGTTTGGCCTTGGGTCGCCTTGTTTCAAACGTGGAAGCTGTGGGGGGTCCTGGTGGCACCCGTGTTTCTTTGGATCCCTTCAGCGTGCTGCCAGGGCTTCCTGGAGTCCACACATCCCTCGGGGGCGGAATTCGGGGAGCTCCACAGTAGGCTCATGTGAGGCCGCGCCTGGCAGATGGTTCTTGTTCACGTGATCCATTTGTGTTGAGCCAAACAGTTTTCTAGGTGCTGCCGTTCTAGCATTCAAGCATTCGAGCTCACCATCCGCTGGGTTCTTCCCATGTTGATTCATCCTGTTTGGGCATTTGGCATTGGGGGAGTGTGAGGCGAGGGAAATCGGACAGGCAAAGAGAGCCTGATGTCCAATCAAAACTGACTCAAAGCATTACTTCTGCCTTTGTTCGAACAAGCGGAGCCATCGCCCTCTTGAAGCAAACATGTCCCTTGTGAAGCCCGACGCAACTCCGCAGGACCATTTCCTGGCCCGGGAAAAAGGCTCTCAGCCCATGGTCCAAGTTGCATTCCTTGCTTTCGGAGGCGGCCCAACCTGCGGCGCAATCGGTCTCCAAGGTGGGGCTTGGAGGGGCACGCCTGCGTTTTGAATTTGTACAAATCGTCCCTTGTGTTGGGAGAAGAGTTACCTTCACCCTCCAGCGGGATTAGTAAGTGCGAAGGGCTATTGGCAGCTCCCAAGGCCACGGCGGCCACCAGACGGCCACCAGACGGCTTTTCTGGGAGGCGGATCCGCGCAAGGAGAAGTCCGGCGGCTGGGGCGGGGGCTTCCTGAGCAGCGGCCTGCAGACCCTGAAGACCTTGCATGGTGCTGCTGAAGGCGCCCGCTTAGCGGTTGCGCAGAACGGGGCTTTCGGGGCAGGAGGGGTTGGCAGGCCGGGTTTTGGTCTTGCAGAACTGCCAGCTTCATTCATTGAAAGGCATATTTGGCATGGCGGATATGTGTTCTTTGTTTGGCTGGGAATCTGGGCTTAGAGGCCCAGAAGAATCAACACCCGGGTTAACAAGTTTAGGTAGATAGGCGCGGCAAGAATCCTCTTTTGATGCTGCGCCATGTGCTCGGGCGAGCTTTTTCAGTCTGCCTCAAAGACTGGCACGGCCTTTTCAGCGGCGATTTTTAGCCCTTCCTGCGATCATGTCGGTATTACAACAGAAGCTCTTTTTGTCGCAGGTTTCCTGGGAAGGCGTCGGCCAAAGGCTTGGGGTCAACGCGAAGACTGCAGCTAGAGGGGGGCAGCTTGGAATAGGTTCCTTTACTTCTACTCTTTGGCAATACTCAAAGCAACCAAACAACCCACACTTGGATGCTGTTCTGAGACCCCTGCAGTGAGATGGAAAGTGGGGGGGACTTGGCAGCCTTGCAGAGAGTGAACAAACGAAATCGACTCCTGTGAGACAATGCGTGGCTAGCCGGTTACTCCCAGATTTTGCATTGAACTAATGAGCGTCCTACACAAAAGGCGAGCGCTCAGACCTGTGAGTTGGCGGTTGGTGGCACCTTGCCTGGGCCGCAACCGGTGCTGTGCTTTTAAAGCGATACCGGCAAGCCACCCACCCTTTTCGTTACCTATTTCTGAGAACCCAAGCACCAGCCTACGCACTGCTTCCGCGGCTGAACAAGAAAGCTCGGCAGATTGCGAATGGTTTGCCTGAAGATAGGAGCTCCATGCTACTTGTATTTTGTTGTCCGTTCTTGAACTGCAAACGTGTCCCCTCTTCACTCGCACCCTTTCTCCCTGTTTTTCGGAGGTGTGGCTCCCTCTTTGACAAGTCCTTTTCTTCCATTGGGGCACCGCGAGGGTGGGGGTCTGGAACTGGGGTTTTTATGTTGGATGGTTTTGAAGGAAAAGCGGATTCATTCCCACCTTTTGGAGGTGTCCCCAGTTCTTCACTTCCCACACGTTGCTAGGAAAACGGGCCATCCCAAAACAGGTTCCCTTTGGGTCGCTGGTTGCAAGCGGGGCTTTTCGGAGGCATACGGGAGCAGATGGAGAAGTCCTTTGAGGAGGCAATCCGCTCAGAGGAGGCCAGCAAAAACCCCCTCTTGGTGGCTCCCAGTCATCCCCTTAGCCTTTTGGCTTTTTAGTGTTTAGTGGCAGTTTCCATTCCACTGCCACTAACAGTTAAACTTTCAGCCCAGCCCTGATTACCCACCCAAAAGGCGTCTTTGGTTGAGGTACGGGGTCAACGGTTCTTGGGAACCCCATGGCCAACCCAAAGTGGAGTTAGAAAAGGGGCTTCTCCCCTGAATTCCCGGGGTGGTGGCCTTCTCCCTCCCACCCTCAACCAACTCCCCTTCATAAAGTGGGGTGTTGTTTGTCACTTCCCAGCTATATGTTCGATATCACTTTGGGCCAGGCTTTTGACGATTACCTAAGGCCGGCTTGGGCAGCAGGTATCTATCGGCGAATGAGGTCTCCACTCGGCAGGGGAAACATGCTAAGGCGCCCGGGGCAAACAGGTAAGTCAGTTTGGGAAGGTCAACTCAAGCCAAGCTTACTTTGGTGCGGGTAGTGTTAAGGAATGCAAATTTGGTTGATGCAAGTCAGCTAATATTGCTAGCTTAGCTTGGGTTCCTTTGCGACTTTTAGCGCAGGGGCGAACTCATAACAGCAATTGAGTCTACATGATGAATTGCGTGCATGTGGGTGTAAGTGCTGAGTTTTCTTTTGACCTGCAGCAGTCTCAGATTCTGTAGTTCGACGAGGTCAATCAATCAGTACAGCATAGTGCTGTGAGCTAAGGTCAAGGTAGGTCTGGTTTGTTTTAGTTTACTGTAATGTAGTTCAATCTGTTTGTTTCTGGCTATACAGGTTGTTGGGCTGGTTTAGCGAAGCTGGTGTAATACAAGTCGACTTCCGAATTTAGTCTCGCTTGGCTTACCGTGCTTGCGTTGTGTGTGTGTGTGTGTGGTGTGTGGGGGGGGGGGGGGTTGGTTTGTTTGCTTCAATATTGATGTCGGTTTCCAGCTAAAGACTTAAAGATGCCTGAGGATTCGCTGCTCCCAGCAGCACTTTTGAGAAAAGGATGTGTTATTCACGGGTATGTTGGCCCATTGGCACACTTCCGACCACAGGCCATGTCGCAGATTTGAGTCACGCGTTGGCTCAGGAGATCTCGACAATGCAGGTGGTACAGGGCTTGAGGGGTGCTGCCGAGAAGGGCGCTGCACTGCGCGTGGACAAGAAGGAGGCCACCGTGCGGCGAAGCGAGCGCCGTTTGGGATTCGAGCCGGCTTGTTTAAAGCAAGCCCGATGTAGAGAATATGTCTTGTGTGTTTGGGTAGTTCCTTTTTGGACTTGAGACATCATCCAACATGGGGTTTTCAAGTATGGGACGAACCATGTACCCAACTTGGGTACCCCTCCGAATTTCAATAAATCGAAACGGCGGGTCGCAGTGTCTAATCCAATTCGTCCCAAAGGGACTTCCCACTACAATGGGAGTTTGGCAACTTTAGACATGACATGTCCAAAACACATTGACGTTTTGCCTGTTTGGTGTTCATGTGGCAGTCCAATCCGAGTCGAAGCTCAAAAGCGGAAGCTGTTTGGTGATGGCTTTCTTGGGTGGTTGGTGATGATTGGCACTATTAGTGACTAGTGATGAATCACTAGGCATCTCAAAGCCACGCACTTTCCCTGCGGTTGAGAACCGTCGCAAGTGATTTGAACACATCGTCTTGGTTCGGAATGGTTTGATTGCTGAGCTATCGGGCCCTGACCAAAGCAACAGCACTGCTCAGACAAAACAGGAGGTACTAATCAAAAAGCCTAAAGACAATCCCTTTTCGAAGGGGCTTGCATGAAGTGCTTTCCTTGTAGAGCGTACCTTGCAAAATTGGCTGCTCCATGCTATCTTTCGCGCCTTCAACAGAATAAATTGGGACCAAGCCGCGGCAATCCAAATAAAGGGTGTACTCTGGGTCCCCCGATCCCGCAAGCTGAGTCCCCGACAAGCTCGAACAAGTTGCATGCTTGCAACGCCCGCAGCACCACCACACGAACCGGTTCGAGGCATTGTGCTAGGTGCAACTTGCAGGCTCCTCATCAGAATGATGGTATGCTCAGTGCAAAGAAGTATAAATTCTTCCGCGATGGTGCCTGCGCAGCGTGAACCGCTTCCCTGCACTAGGCTAGTTAAGTTGTAGTAGTGCCTTTCAACATCATGTACCTTCCGCTAGCGAATCGTACCCTGGCTGTGCACATTTGCATAGGCCATGTCGCATGCGTGGGTTGGGGTGTCAGCTATCGATTGACTGATTCCCAGGTGTCGCCGCGGCCTGACGCTTGGGCGAAACAGAGCGGAAAGCCAAGGTTTGCGAATGGATGGCGAGATGTCAGCCTGGCAATATAAAGGGGCAGTCAACGGCAATTGTTTCGGCCACCGTTTTGTCAGAGGCGAGTCGCAAGCACAGGTGCCTCTGTCCATTTATTCATGAATATTATGGTCACGGTAGCGTGGGCAAGAGGCAACTCAGGTTGCGGCAGGGTTCACAAGAGATGCAAGCGACATGCGGTTGCTGCTTTTGCTCGCTCCTTTGCCCAGCTTCTTTCGCACGCGTTTCCCTAGAAGAGGCACTCATCTAAGTCCACTAGCTTGAGCAACGGAGAGGCCCCAGTCCCAGCGGAACCGGGTATCAAGTAAGACTTCAGAAGTAGGAGGTACCATAGGTACCTACCAGGTTTGTAGCTGATGCTTCGCCTGGGCCTGTGTCAAACTGGTAGTTGGTTTCATTTGCAGGGGTTACCAGGTCTAGGAGCCGAGCCTTGCACGCAGTGCGATTGTTTTGACTTTGCACATGTGGATTATTTTGTCCGACATGACAATGTGCATGTTCATTGTTCAATGTGATAAACCAAGAAACAATACATATATATATATATATGTACATATGCATGTGTCTGTGTATGCATGCCTTGATGGGTGAGCGCCCCAAAGGTGGCTGTTTGGTTTCGGGCCTGCTTAGTCTCAGGACTTCAGCCCCACCAGCGAGGCTGCCTCCGTGCCTGAGGAAGTCAAGGCCCCCGGCCCCACCCGACCCCCTGCCCGCTTTGGCGAGAAGAGACAGGGCCGGTTTGCGGTTGCAGGGGTCAGCGGCTCATAGGGTCAATTCTGAGTTGGTTCATGCTTGACTTTTGTATTGGAAGAAGCCCGCTTCAGGCACCAGCAGCCTGAAGGGCCTTAATGCTACTGCATGATCCACACTGGTTGCTCAAGGATAGAGGCCCATGTTTGCATATGCGAATCAGGGCGCATGTGCAACCTGCGTTCGCACACTGGCAGTTCAAACTGCCAGAATGCGTTGTCACTGCAGGTGCAGCAGAAGGTGCCTCAGCAGACGCAGGAGGGAGCTCGGTGGGTGGCAGCCACTAGGTGCGGCAATGCGGCTGCACGCTGGCGCTGGGTTCAAACGGCCAGGTGTTCAGCACTGTATGCTTGCAGAAAGCCTTGCCACACTTTAGCCGTGGACACGTCAGGTCCCCGGAATGTCAAACGAAGGCCCGCTACAACCGTTTTGTCTCGGGTGAGCAACACCCCAGATTGGCAAGGGCTTTGTTGTTGCATAATTACGGGCCATTCCACTGCCAAAGTTTGCTGTTCTTCGCGTGTAACATGGATTGAAGCTTAAGAGCAGTGTTTAGATGCCATGCTCATGGCCTCTTGTCTGTGTTATAGTCCGCGCTCTGACGCCAATTCCGAGGGAAGAATCCGGCACGCATACGGTTCTCAATTCACAGCTCACATTGCAGCATGGAATGTCGATTACCGGCAATTGTATTTGGTGCCGGGCAAAATGTTGTTCCTTGACCACGCAGGGGGGGATCCTCGTCCGTGTGGCAAGCCACACTTGTCGCCCTGTGCTTCCTTCTGCTTTGCAGCGAGGAGCAGCTGGAGGCAATGATGACGGAAAGGGAGCGCCTGCTGATGGAGAACAAGAAGCTGAAGGCAGAAAGCTTGCGAGTGCGTGATTGCAAGTTCTGTAAGTGACATTCAGGAAGCAACCAGTTGGTTCCCTTTGGGTGTTTCAGAAATCAACGGTACATTTGGTGCTTAGGGGTGTCCATTCGGATAGTAGGAATTTTGGCCACAAGGGCAGCCAAGCCCGTAAGGCCTGTATGGCGAGATGCTGCAAATTCGAGCACTGCCTTCCCCGCAAGGTGGTTGTGTTCGCTACCGAAGCCAAACCAGGGGGGTTTCTCAACGGTGTGCTCCCAGGCCAGTTGACCGCCAAGATCATCAGTGCAAAGTAGTAGCACGATTCCCCTTCTCGGCAAAGACAGCTACTGACTCATGTTCCCTAATAGGCGGACTGCGTATTTTTGTTAGGTAGTTTTGACCAGATATTGGAGGAGTCATTTAAAGCCATGTTTCTTTCTTGATGGTGCCTGTATCAAAAGATGGCATCTCGTGGCTTGCGTGTTTGGTGTGACGTCAATGTTGTTTGCCCACACGTTGATTTTTGCCGACCTCGCCTACCCATGCAACTCACACCGAACACCTCAGTGTTCGCCCACAAAACAAGTCTGAGTGGAAGGATGTTGTGTGTGACACTGGTATTGCCCGCCTTGTATCCCAGGTCCTGTATGCCTAAGCTGCCGCTTTCAATTGATCCATCCGCAGGCGGAGAAGGAGAACCTTATCCTGGAGGGCACCAAGATGTCGCGGCGTGTGCAGTCGGTGGAAGAGCGTATGAAGGACTTGGGACTCGGGACAGCCGGGCAGTTGATGAATGGCTTTGAGCTTTGGCATTGGTTCAAACCAGTTGCCAGCTTTTGCCTTTGGTCAACCTGGCTGTGAAAGCAATTAGGACTCCAAGCCCGGCCGAAGCGCAGTTTTTAGATTCTGTTTTTGGCGCGAATGCCAGGTGCTTGTGGTCAAGCACGTGCGTAATTCAACAGGACTTTGGGTGCCCATTCGGTGAGGCTTGATAGGCCACCTGTTGCAAAGGGCTACGTGGGGATCGAATTTGGGCATGGAAGAATAGCTGCCTCAAACAGGGGTTGCGACCTTCTCCATGATGAAGACTCCTTTCCCGGAAAGCTTGTTGCCCTAGTGCATGCCCCCATACCCGGTAGTTGCGCTTCTGCTATCCAGCTTGGATGGCATGTTGCAAGAAGTTGTGCTTCGATGGTTGCGAGCCCTAACATGACGCACTTCGAGATGTCCGAAGCGGAAGCATTTGCATGGACAAACTTGTGCTTTCGCCAAGAAAGCATGACAGCTACTGCACGGCGAGGCAACAATCCTTTGAGCCGTCTCAGCTTCCATGAGTGTTGGGAAACCGCAGCACCTTCAAATTTTGTCGGGAACAAATCCAACCTCCCATTTCTCATTGCTTCTCCCTCCCTTCTTCCGAGTAGGATTGGCCAGCACTTCATGTTGAACAGTTCAATCGTCGCGCAAATCCTTGTTTTACAACTTCTCCCTGCGAATCAAGATTCTTTGCCCACCTACCGACCAGGCGGGTGCCGCTGAGCTGCGCCGGGCAGAGCAGCTGCAGTCGGACAGCGACAGGCCCGGGAGGGTGGGCGGAGGGCTGGGTCCTGTTGGATAGAAATGCAGCTCGGGCTTTTTAACATCTTTTGAAGGGCTACTTCTGTGTTTGCTTGTTTTATTTCTGCTTGAGGGTTGGGGGAGTGAGGACTTGGTTTGTATTTCTGGACCGAAGTAATGAGTTTGTCATTTGGAAGGACTTCAGTCGTATCGCAGAACTGGGCAATTCCAGAACCTCCTGTTGGATGGCTTCAAATGCAAAAATCAAACGCAACCCCAGCAAAAACAAGTTGTTCAATGGATTTCACCCTTTAGATCCCATTTTTCGTGGGTTTCCTACAAATGGTTTATGAGAAGGTGCTCCACTGTTGGGAGCGATCACGAGGTTGATTCCGGGTTCGGCATTAGCCTCTAACGGCCGAGGGCCAAAGAGCAGCTGCAGAACCAGCTCAGCCGTCAGACCGCCAAGGTGGAGAAGGCGATGGTGCTTCAAGCCAGAAACGCGTGAAGATCACAGAGACAGTTTGCTCTCAGGGGTGGGCAAGGCTAGTTTAAAAGAAACAATACTATGAAGTAGCTCGTCACCATCCGCACGTCTCCTCCCTGTCAAGATGTCATGTCAATTGGGAAAGGGCAGCAAACAGCTTAGCCAAGAAAGTCCCCATGCGGGCGCGTTGGATTTAACAAAGACCACATTCAGGCAGGGCCGGTTTCTCTGATATGCCCTTAAGCATGGGCCTTGCTGGTTTTCTGTCCTCAGATCAGAGGTTTTCTTTGGGCACATCGTGTTGCGAGCTCACGATGTGCTGCATCTTCATTCCCCTTTCAGTGTTTTTGTTTTTTTCTGCATGTTGGCGTTTGCTTGAACACCATCCACCTGAATTGTCCACACTATTTAAGGCGCCGGTCCTTTATAACCCAGGCTTGCACAGCTCGCCCGGATGCAGGATCCCAGAAACAGGGGATCCTTTAGTTTGGTTTTGGAATGACAACACATTCCATGATTGAGACCGACATGCGAGGGTCAAGACAAGAGCTTTGAGGGCCGTTGCTTCGGCTCTGACAACAAGGCTTCTGTTCCTGACAAACTTGCATGTACGAGCTTTAGATTTGGTTTTGTTCGAGCTTCAACCACGCAGCACCAAACAGGATTTCCCATGGTCCCGTCCACCCAGTGCACCCAGCCCCACGTCACTCCCAACCAGAGCCTGGGCCGGGGCGGGCACCTTGGGCCCTTCCGCCCCGCAGGCGGAGGCGCAGAGCTCCGAGCTGCGGGCCGAACTCCGGCGCGTGGCTGCGGAACTGGAGCCGAACACGGCAGCGGTGGGGTGAACTGGGGCTATGAAACATGCAGACATGACAGAAAGGCATGCTAGCGCCTGATTTTATGCCTTTTCTGAATTGTGTCACGTTTAGCGATGCTTCGATTCCATTGTTCTCATCGGCCGCAACTTGGGTGCCGTTTATCTAGGGGCCCCCGGGACCTTGCCAGCAAAATCACGCGATGGCAGCCTCTTGAATCAGGGCCCCCGTCAGAAGTCAACTCAGGCCGTTTGTTTTCCCACGAGCCTGGCGGGGATGCCAAACCGCAAGTTTCATCCGAATCAAATATAATTCCTGTTTTCCGGAGCAGCGAGTGCTTAGTCTTCTGCAGCCACAGGTTTCGGAGCAGATCTGGCCTCACCAACATCCTGAAGTAGCTTTAGGCTTAGCTTTTCGCAAAGTCTTGGAGGAATCGCCGCAAGTTGAATATCCACAAAGCATTTGAGGGTTCCAGAACATTCTAGTAGAACTAGATGATCCCGAAGGTTTCCAAGAGCTTTTTTTTGTGAACTGGGTCCACCGAATTTCTGGGAGGCTCTGAACTTGGGCTGCGAGTCTTTCCGTGGCGACCATGTCTTTTTGCTTTTGACCTGGGCGATGGCTATGTGTGTGCTTCAATGCCTTTTGTGCTCAGAAGATTGCCAGTTGACAGGCGATGAGGTTGCACATTTTGCAGTTCAGACAACTGGCCATGGCCAATACGCATTGCTGCGGCCGGGAATAGTGCCACCGACAGATGGCCATGGGTCAAAAGCCCGTACCCCCAGTGAACATCCCAATCCCCACTAAAATCGACTAAAATGGGTGGTGCACCTACCCCAAAATGGCGGCCATATGCCATGGCCCTTTTCTTCTGAGTCCTCCACAGTCTTCCCCTCAACCTCTGGGAAGGCCTAGTGCCGTCCGAGCTTGACCTCGCTCCCTTCGCAGGAGCGGGCAAAGCAGCAGCTTCAAGGCGAGAAGCGTCAGCTGCAGGCCATGCGAGCTCGACGGGCTCGGATCGAGTTGCTGCGTTGTCACAAAGCCATTTGCAGAGACAGCTTTCTGCCGCCGGCACTTCTCCCGGAACGCGGCCTTAAACTTCGAGAACAGGTGAGCCTTTCGGGGAGGAGTTTGATGAGTTTGCCCCTGCAATCGCCAGGATACTGCATTGGCAGGGGCACGCCCTCACCTTCTGCAAAAGGAATAGCTCTTCTGCGCGCATTGTTTCCTATGCGGTTGACATCCGCGCTTCTTTCTGGACATAGGCACCCTTATTGGACATAGGCACCCTGGACTCCGTGAAAAGTACCTGACTGATCGTCGATTTTTGAGAGCCGCGACTACAAGCGATTTGTCCACTTGTGCCTTCTTTGGAAGAACGACCAAGCCATCACTCACATTTTGGGTAGGAATCCTGGAAGTTTGATGGTGGGGGCTCGCAGAATCTGCCACGCCACCTCCTCTTGCAATCACAGCTGTTTGTTTTGCGATCATGTTGATGGCTTCATGTTGCGTCGTTACGTCTTGGGAATTTCACCTTTACCCTACTGCAGATGAAAGTGCGCGGGGCCACCCACATCAGACGTTTGGAGTTTCGTGTTTGTTAGCAGCGAGCACCATGGATTGGGCCTCTTTCAACTGCAATCTTGGCCAGTGGGAATGCCCCGCTGCCTGAGAGCTGGCAGCATTCATTGAAAACCATCCTGCCCTTCACTGTTCTGTAGACCCGTGCCCGCAGGCATCGAATCGGCGAAACAAGCCATAGCAAGCCAACAGAGTACATACCCAACAACAGCGCCGCGCATTCGGAACTGGGAACACAGGGCCGGCCCGAGACTCAGTGGCAGATCAACCTCGGAGCTGTCGCCACAACTCCTTGGCCCACATCTGGGGCTCACCGAAAAATAGGTTTGTTGAGTCTGTGTATTTCCGTTTCATGTTTACACACGGTTGGCTTGTCTTCAGCACGTCCAGCCAGCTACGCTTTGCTGATGGTTCTGCAGGCCGACCACCAAGCCCTACAGCTGAAGAGCCGGGAGAGTTCAGAGAAAGAAAGGCGCATGGAGGAGCGCATCCAGCAGCTGGGCCTCGTCATTTTTTGTTGGGTGGCTCCTTCAAAACGACTTGTTTTTTCTTACTTCTTTTTTTTTTGGGGGGGGGGGTTGGCAAATATGAGCCAGACACAGACAAACATATTTTTGGCGTGCCCCAGACGTGGGCCAAGTTGGGGGTCTGGCAGTTTTCGGGGTCTTCTTCTTGACCCAGGGAGAGCCGACCGGGTGGCAATTTGCCATGCCCAAGACCCAGAGGCCCAGACCTGCCAGATTAGACCCATCGGTGTGACGGGTTGTCATGGGTTGTCCACAAAATGTCTTTGGTTCCGGGCGCACTTTGAGTTGTCCTTCTTGTGGGAGTCTTTTAGGCCTGAGCTGAGTCAGTATGTTCCCTTTTTGTGGGGGGGATTGCACGTTCATCGGCACTTGAAGGCTTTGGTATGAGCAGCTGGAAATATGTTGGGGTATCGATTTTTGGTAGTCCCCTACCCGTTTTGCAGGCGGAATGAGCCTGGGTATTCATCCGGCTCCCTTTATAGCATACAGTGGCCTAGTTGATAAATTATTTCGGGAGAATCAATGTGTTCAGCAGGTGGTTTTTGTATGTGTCCTTTAAGGAATCCTGTTCATCAAAGAAGCTTAGTTACACAACTCTGCAGCGTTTAAGTACAAAAGTAGTACGCGATGTGCGCTCCCACAGATCCTCGAAAGTCACAAGTTGCTTTATGCAAGCTTGTGCAAGTTGCTGTGGAAGTTTTGTGCGCGGAAGTTGCTTTGCGCAAGCTGCTTTGTGCAAGCTGTCAAGTTGCTCGGTGCAGGTTGCTCTGTACAAGTTGCTTTGCGCAGGTTGCTTTTTTGCAAGTTGCAGTGTGCAACTTGTGCGAGTGGCCCTGTGCAAGTGGCTCTGTGCAAGTTGCGGCATATAAGTTGCTCCGTGGAAGTTGCTCTGTACAAGTAGCTCTGTTCAGGTTGCCCTGTGCACTTTACCCTGTGGAAGTTGCTCTGCGCATGTTGCACTGAAGCCATGCTGGCTTCACAAAGCAGATACATTTTTTGTAGGTGCGCTGTTTGTCTAGAAGCTGTCGTCATCCAGCTTCACTGGGGCATACCTGGTATGTCAAACCAGTCGCGAAGTCGCAAGAGCCGAGGCAGCTTTGCCACGAGCGAGAGGAGCTGCGCGCCACCAGCAGCTCTTTGACCCTAGAGCTGCAGCAGGCGGCGGTCTTTCTTTCCTACTGGGAGTCTGGGTTAATCTCCAATGGTTTCCCTTGGCGGCTAAATGAAAAAAATATTGCATAACCAGGGGTCCTCAGGATTTCCCTTTCGGGGGTTGGGGGACTTGCCCAGAGTGTCAATCTTCCTATTTTAGTTCATGTTGTGTCAAGGTCCCAAAAGGCAAATTTCTCATTGCCAGCTCCTTTTGACAAGTGAGTCGCAATGAACACGCGGATATCCTTGCAAGCATTCTGTAGTCCCAGCGATTGGCGTCTTGCCCATAGCCTCGCAACCCCGATATGCTTCTTCAGTTGTTCGGTCCATTTTTGCCGAAATTCATGGGGATTTCGGCGTTCCCCCGAAGCAGTCCCAGTCTCACGAAACATGAGGTAACATCAACCGAAACTGCGCTAACAAAGAAGTCCGCCCCAGGATTGCTTGGGGGTTCCATGTTAGCGCCATGTTATGAATCCCCGGGGCAAGAAACACAAAAACAGAACGGCCTGCGAACGTGGAACAAACCCAGATTTTCTGCTGAATCAAAAGCATTTGGCTTGGGGAGCGTTGTTTGCACCTAAGCCCTGCGCCGGTGCCGATTTTGGGACTTGTGCTCACAGCACTCGAGGCGCTGGGGGCGGTAGACAACCTGGAGCGGCGGCTGCAGCAACAGGTCCAGGAGCGAAATGAGGGCAACCCCGAATGGAAGTACCCTTCAAAAACGATAAGTGCATTTGTTGTGCTGCCCAGTTGTCGAGTTGTTTGCCTGGTTGTCAGTCTGTTTGTTTGTTTGTTTGTTTGTTTGTGTGTGTGTGTGTCTGTTTGTTTGCCCGTCTGTCTGTCAGCCTGTCTGTCGGTCTGTCTGTCGGTGTGCCTTTGTGTTTGCTCGTTTGTTTGCTTGAGTGTTTGTTGTTTTTGCGTCGTATGGCTGCCGCGCGCGTCCTGTAAATTCAATTGGCAAAAGGTCCTAAGGTTAAACCATACTGTTTTTCCCATGGAAGATCTCTGAACTAGTCATCCTAGTTAAAATTGAATTCCATCACACCAAGACAAATATGATTGCGCCATGCTGGCGGTTTTGCATTGCCGCATGACCCCTGTTGACCAGCCAGCGGCTTCTGAGGTTCCTTCTGCTGGACTTGTTTCAAGTTCAATGATGGACATCTTGCTGGGTGCACATGCCGACGTGTCCTTCCCTTTACGCAATATCGCAGAACTATTATCCTGTCCTGCTTTGCCTCTATAGCTTTTGGCCTCAGTGGTTTGAACACCACCTCTTCATTGTTATTTCTGGCGGAGTGTCCTTCAGAACATGCAAAACAATGGCACCTTGTCAAGTTTGCATAGCTGAGACTAGCTACAACACCAAGCAAAGCAGTGGAAAAACAGGCTGAGTGAACACCTGGTTGCTGTTGAGGGGTGTCCGCAGCCTGGATCCGGTCGGGTTCCCGATTGCCATTGAAGCCCAAAGCGTTGAAAGCGGGCCAGAAAGATCATCCGGTTGGCTTACTGCTCGCCTGGCGAAAAGAGCCGGGCAATCAACCAAAGGTTCAACGGGGGCAAAGGGAAGTTAAGAGGTTGGTTCATGTCCATTCCCCAGTTGCCTATAGACTGGCAGACAAAGAAAGCCCTTCGGATTGACCTCGGCCCGGCATGTCGCAGACAGCGGCAGAGAACTCGGGTTTCTGACCGGAGGGTTTGCGAAGTGCAGGGCGCTGGAGATTGAAAAAGGATTCTAGCTGCGCCCTCACTGCCGGAACACAGTTTCCATCGCAATGCCTCATTGCAAATCAGTTTTGCAAAAGGTTAAGGTTAGTTGAGGACGGAGGGTGATGCAAAAGGCTAATGCAGTTGTGAACTGCGCCGCTGCCCTCCTTTCAAGTCACTCGCTCGCTACTCACAGAAAGGCCCCGTGTCAGGCACAGGATGGTAGAGCACCCCAAAAACTCTATCGAGGGTGGGTATCGACCTTTAATTTGAAATCAGAAAGCCAAGCTGGATTCCATAATATTGCTTTTCAAGATTCATGCCAGCCATTTGGATTGGAAAAAACACAATTCAAGAAGCATGCAAGCCATTTGGATTGCACAATGGCACGCTTTCAAGATACCTGAGCCAAAAAAAAAGCTTGGAGGGTCCCTCGGAAAAACGTTGATCGCTCTTCTTTCGTCGAAGGGGCGGGGAAGGTCAAATCAAAGGTGAAGGTCACCCCATCCAAACTGAGTCAGGAGATGGAGCAGCTGCAGGAGCGGCACCGGCGTCAGCTGGAGGCTGCAGAGTGCGAGCCCCTCGAAACGCAGGTTTTGACGTCGAGACGGATTCCAGCTTGCAGCAAATTTTGTGGCGTGTAGAGTGCTGGAATCCATTTGTCAGAGCCCGTTTGGAGTCACCCAGCTAAAGATGGGTATGAAGCCAGAAGACCTGGTTTTGGTGCATGCACCCATGTCCAAACATCAGGTAATTACTGCTCCGAACATCATCATTGAATGAGGTGCTTCGTGCAATACGCCCCCCTGTTTGGATGGAAACCGGAGCCGCCTTTTTCACGCGCTTATTCGAGGACAAAGACAGTTGGCTTCTTGAAATCAGCCATGCCTCAGATGAAACAAAGTAAATGAAACATCACTTCATCAATCAGGCCCCGGACTCCTGTTTTTGCTCTCCTTTCCGGGTGTTTTGCTGCCCTTCAACAGGAATTGTTGAGCAGATGGGCAGGTGGTGCAATTTCAATCCGACCATCCGGCACCTTATGAATCATCCATGCGGGTTGCTGAACTTTGGGCAAGTGTCCCTTCCACCATCAGCAGGGCCATGGGCAGGGGGGTAGTTCCCAATTCAGTGAATCAAGGGAACTTTCTGCATGAGGAATTGATTCTGAGTCCTGGGGAAGGCCGTCCAGTGGTATCGCAGCATACTTGGTCACTTGTCAAGGTCTGAAATGTGATAACTGTTTATTTCCTTTCGACTTTGCGAACACTGACGGGATCCAGCTTTGGGAGCCTTTGGTGACTAGGGATGGGCATCAATTCTTGGTGTGTGCGTGTGTGACTGTGCGCCGTTGACTTTTTGAGGGCACCCGTTCTATCTTGACATAAAGGGGAAAATCGGGGGATCCCAAAAATGCTGGTTGTGTATTCTTTTGGCTTTCCTTCAACATAGCCCCAACAGGGTCACCCTGAACACAGACCCATGTGCTCTTGAGAGATCTGGGAGCCCAGGTTTGTGAACGAGAGCATGCCCTACCAGCAGCGCTTGGGGGAGTTGGAGGCGCAGCTTGCGCACCAAGAGCCGCTGGATTGCAGCCAGATGTTTCGCATATGAGAGTCGTCCGAAAGGTCCTTGTATTGAGCTATGAAGGGGAAGACCTTTTGGTCTTGGCGTTGACCTCCGCGAAAGTTCTGCGAAGGGGGTCGCGAAAGTTAATTTTTTATTCGCGAAAGTTTTGTGTAAGGGTGGCTTGCTAACAGGAAGCTGGAGTGATGAACCATGTGTATTTACCGGCAGTGCGGGCAGAATGCCCGCAGACCAAAGTTGGCCGGGGAATGCGCAGCCTGAGGGTCGCCGCAAGAATACGCCGCTGCAAAGGCAACCCCCAGCCAGCAGAAACCGGCTTGTGGGAGTTTTGAAGCTTTCGGGTCAATTTGAGTGCAACTTCCAGCCGGATTTCCGCGAATGTTTGGCGTAAGATCCGCGAAAGTTTCGCGAAAGTCGACGGACCTCCCCGCCAGTTTCCGGACATGAGGCTAACGGGTCCTCTCGAGCTGCGGAAACTTGCTTCGCGTGCTACTTTGGAACTGAAAGGTTGCGACTTTCGAGCTGGGGCTGCGGAAGCTTACCCTTGTCAGGAACCCCGTGTTAGAAACTTCCCTGCCACCCAAAAAGCATATGCCAGGGGTTGCTAACACTCACTTGGCAGAGCCTGGGAAGATGAAGGTTTGCAAGACAGCCACGTAGCTGGGTGCGGCTTTGATTCTTTACATGGCTTAGGGTTGACCCTTTGGTTTGGAGGTCCGCATCGGTCCTCCTAGGCCCCCGCATTGCCAGACACAAAACTTGGCGACTGTTGACAAAAGGGATCAGACAAGAATGGCTCATTTTTGGGAGAGATGTGCAATTCGCAATTGAAAGGCGCATTTAACAGGAAAACATATGAGGGAAATCCTCCTGACACATCACCACCTGGTGCTTGATGTTGGCTTGGGGAACATGCGCTTCCAGAAGGGGTCTCTTTCCCTAAACCAAAGGATGTTTCACACAAGCTGCTGGATTTGTGGAATCAGTTCTATGCTGGTCTGCCTACATTGCTGACTGGGTTTTGGGAAAAAAGGCAAGCGGAGCATTTCCGAGCGTTCTGAGGCAGAAGTTTTTGGAGAGGGAGGCGATCGCCTATCGAGAGCGGGACAAGGCACGTGGGTTATGCACCCCTTTTGCCAGGGTTTACGGGCTACCCCCGCTTCATTTGTAAGGTCCAAATGATTTGGGAAGTCAGTGCCTGTAAAGACTGGCCCCCAACCTCGCTTGCTCTCAGCATGGTTTGTGCAGAGCGGCGTGCAACTACTGGTTGGCCCACATGGTCTGGGCAAAGACTGAACGTGATTGTTCGCTAGTCCTTTTGCTTGCTCAATTCTGCACCGTCGCGGCAGGATCTGCGGATCAGATCGACCCAGCACCATGTGAACCAAAACGTGCAACGAAAGCGCGGCCACACTGCCCAAACCGTGCTCGGATTCAGCACCTGAAGATGACAGCACCCTGCTGTCCTCTCACCTGCGCAAACCCGCGCACAGCCTGTTGTACCGCGCCTCTCCCAAAGCTGCTGCACATCCAAGTTATATACGGTCTCAGCTCGGGGCACATGCTCACTGCACAGACCACAGACCTTAACTTCCCAAAGGCGCCCTTCCCACATCTTCCGGCAGGCTAGAGAAAATGGCCCCGGATGCGTCTCGGCTTGACGGCCGCCTTGATATTGGGATGCCTTGGTGACTTTCATAAATTTGCCTAGCCGCTGGCAAAGGCGCATCAAACTTTGCGGGTGCTCAAAGCGAACCAATGCCTGAGGCTCGCATGCTTTCATCTTCTATAAAATCCGAACCGGGTGCTCCGTGGTTCGCCATCCCCGTTCCCGGCATCGCTCGCTCGAGCGCTTTCTGGAACAGAGGATGAGGCCCCTGGTGCTGGGAGGGACAGTTAAATTCTGGGACCAGCCCCACATGAGGCGAAGACAGGCCCTTGCAGCGTTCGACAAGATTGTTTCAAACCACTAGGGCCCAAATTCACGTGGGCATGTTCACAGAGGCAATTTTTGGATCGAGCATGTACAAACAGGCGGGTGACCAACAGGAACAGGAGCAACAGACAAAAAGTCAAGAGCAATCAAATTATTTCGGCGTGGCCCAAAGTCGTTGAAATTGGAGATTGAAAGAGGCACCAACCTGTTCAGTGCTTAGAGTTTCGCTGCACTCGGTCCCCAAGCAAAGATAGCCAGTGGCAGAGTCTCATTCGCGGTTTTCCCCGGTGAACTTGATGGTGGGCTCTCCACGCCTCCATCTCTGGCCAACACGCGGACACTGCTTGAGTAGAGAACTTGACGCATTCCCTTCTTGGGTGTCCAGTCCCACGACAACAGGGTTCCGTGCATGTCCCTTCTTGTTTTTTTTTTTTTGTGTGTGTTTTTTTTTTTGTATTTTTTTAAGCAGGCAGGGTTCAGAATCAGGCCTCAATTCTGCCAGATTGTAATTATGTCCGTTGTGGTTGTGTCCCACTAACGGGCGGATCCGGATTTAGGGCCCTCCATTTTGAACAGCCCCGTGGAACAACTGCTTCTTGATGTCTAATACTTGTTTGTCGATCAGCTTTTCGTTCATGACAAGCACCGGCCACATTCTTCACACATGATGCTCAGAACCTTCCCATTGCCGTCAAGGTCATTAGAATGAACATTTGGTTTAATAGCACCCCATACCCCACGATTCCTACCATTGGCATCAAGTTCGTTTGGATTAGCCCATGCTAGCATGCCATCAATAAGCACTCCACACCCCGTCCGATTCGCAGGAGCGGGCAGAGCTGGAGGCGGCCAAAGAGGAGCTGCGCCAAAAGGAGGCCCTCCAGGCGAATGGATCCGGCAGTTGTTCGCAAGGGTCCCTTTTTCAGAAGAGACGTTCCGCTCCTGCAAGATGACAAGGGTAGCAATTTGGATGGTTCTTTTCCTTTGGCTTCCTTTGGCTTCCTTTGGCTTCCTTTGGTTTCCTTTGGTTTCCTTTCATTCCCTCGCTTTTCCTGGGCCAAAAGCCGAATTTCGATCGTTGCTCCGATCTTGTGTCAAACATGCGTAGTCTAATTTGTCTCATGGAGGTCTGCATAATTTGCCTCCACAAAGCAAAAGGCGGAGCATTTGGTGGTTCAGCTCCATTCTGGGCTGGGCTTTGTCGGAGTTGGGACAGTTGGGGCACGGTTGTCGCTGTGTGTTCTGTTTTTATGACGGACGCTTCCCTGCTTGGAGACAAAGTCAGACGAGAATGGCAATAGTTTTGCACTAAGACGTGAGGCCCTCCCGTGTTCAACCAGGCGCTTTGTGGCCGCAGGAGCGCCGGGCCCGCGAGCAGCGGGAGGAGTCCTTGCGGGCTCAGCGCGCGCAGCAGGACGCTGCGGACCTTAGCGCCTCGACTCTGCACTCCTGGCGTCCGAAGCGACGCGCTAAATCAACGTGCATAAACGGCGCGCAGGGTGCATAGTGCTTCGGTAAAGGGTTAGCACCGCATTGGATGCCACATTTGAGCCCATGTTTCTCGTTCACTTGCCCTTCAAGGAAGCCACAAAAGGATTGACTTGCTTGTTCTAGATATATGGAAATATGCGCATAAGTAAGTTTATGTATATTTATGGAGATATTGAATATCAGCCCCCGTTTATGCACTTTGATGCGACCCTTCGGTTGCGCAAGGGCAGCCACACATGCGTTTTCTCCACTCAAGATGAACAGCTGCAGAGGGTTCCCTGACCCCACGGCTACTGGGCGAGCATGATAGGTAGTTATTATAACCCACCGCCAAAAGCTGAGACAGCGTAAGATGAAATCTCCAATGGCAGCGGGATCTTCTTTTGCAGGATCGATTTGCCTCATGGGTCCTGTTTCGAAACTGAGCAAGTGCCACAACTCGGATTGCTATCAAATTCAGCTCGCCTCAAAGGGTTCCCGCTTTTTCATGCAACAGTCAGGCCAAGCCGTATGTTGCGCGGGGCTGTGGGTCACGGTAGGCATTCCCATCAACCTGGGAAGAAAAGGGCTAAAAGCCAGACATGCGCCGCGGTCCAGTGGTGTGGGAGCAAGTTTCAATGCACCATATTGTCGGGTTGGCAGTGCGATGTTCGCCGTTGCCCCCGCCAAGGGCGCTAAACTTGCCCCACTTCCCACCAGCGCAGCATCGTCCATATGGCATCCTTTGCTTTCGAGCTTGCCATTGTAGCAGGCTCACGGAACTTCGGTCCCTTTTCGCCGCCCTTTTACTGGGGCAACGACTTCCTTCCTTCCTTCCTTCCTTGCTTGCTTGCTTGCTTGCGTCCTTCCTTCCTTCCTTTCTTCCTCAGACATTCTGACACCACCTCCCTATTGAGATGCTGAGTTGCTTCGATAATTGCGAATACTTTGGTGTTTCGTGCTGGTGCTGGCTGCAAGTAGAAAGTAAAAGTTCTTGACACCCATGGATAGGTTTCGCAAATGAACGCTCTTCAGAGTGGGCCGCCCGCTTGCTCCTTATTCTTCATCAAGGGTTTTGCCCACACCTGTGCATCTTGCTGGGGCAAAGGTTGAATGGACAGAGTTTGAATATGTGAAGAGTTGGGCACCAGCCTCCCCCATACAGCCCTTCAGCCAAAGCGTGTCGCAAGCATGACGGCCAAGGACGGGAAATGGCAGAGGCGGGCTGCCGGTGCTGCAAAGTCACGGCATTTGTCTTTACCCTGGCTTCACAGAAGGCATGTTGGGTTTGGCTACTTGTAGTCCAAAGCGCTACTTTGGCGAGAGACCAGCGCACCCTAGAAGAGGATGCAAGCGTTGCCCAGCAAGGCATGTTCCAGTTTGCTCCCAGCAAGCGACCTCGTTGGTGGACACTGTGAAACCCCAGTCAGTTGCCATCATCATATGTCGCAGGAACGGGTTGGGCGTCTCCCAATTGTTGCTTATCAGCCAGCTATCCCATTGTGCTTGGTTGATGACCAATCCTATGCAACCCGTGGTTCTTGCAGGCTGGCGCTAAAAGGGTTTGGCAGAAGTTCGGCGTGAGCCGTATGACCTACCTCTCTGACCATAAGACCTGAGGTAAGGTTCCAGTTGCAGGGACAAGCGGGGAAATTTCCCCTAGATGAGCCATCCATTCCCCATATAAGTTGACAAGGTTGGCCCGCTGATTAGTCCGTACCTGCAATAGGCAAGCAAGAAGAACATGGCTTTCATGTCTCCAGTGCTGGAGAGGGGTTTGGGTGCCCTTTTTGCGATGGGACTTTGACTTGAATAGCTTTAACCAGGCAATTCATGTTTCTTTTTTTGAGTTCTGATTCGGGATCCGAAACTGGATTGGCGGGTACGTTGTCGAAACCCTGGCATTTGTTTGCGCTGCTTGAAGGTTCCCATGGTTCCTTCCAGCAGAGGTTTGTTGAAACCCGAACCCTCCCAATTGATGTTAGAAGAAACGTTGGCTTCATAACGACCCATGAAGAATTTGGGGAATCGTTTCTTCCAGAAGACGCCCCCATTAAACGTTAATGGCTAGATGATTGGGCGCTTTGTTCAGCAGCCATCATTATCCCAGAATTGCCTACCGGTGCTTTTTCCTTTTGGAAAAGAGTGTTCGTTTCAGTTCAGCCTACAACACGTTTCTCAAAGCAACAAGTCTTCGAATTCAGCCAGCAAGGTCAGTTTTCTTGCTGGTGAGCAGGGAATGTGGTTGAATGAACCCAGGCCTTGAGGTGTCCCCAGAAAGGAAACCACAAGGAATGGTTTTTATAAGGGTCATTCCATTTCTCATTCTCTGCCTATCGCACCACCAAGTTTCCTTTTTCAAGGGACCCCCGATCTCGAGGCCCCACACGCCAGGTGCACACTGCCAGAGAAGCCGCGGACCGAGGGCGGGAGGCAGCCGAAGGCGGATGGGAGATGGCGCGAGTGGAGGAAGCTTTGGGGCCCATGCTGGGCTTGGCACGGGAACTTGGACTTCATAAAGCTCTCGGGGAGCAACATCAGTTGAACTGGAAGCAGGAAAGACGCCGGTAGGTGCTTGAAAAGCTCAGCATTCGTCATTCCACTTTGTGAAACGATTCAGGGTCACCTTAAAGGACGGACGAACTATCCAACCAACCAAACAAACAAGCCAGGATGTTTGTTATATGTTCCTCAGGCTCGGGCACATGGGAACATGCACTGCGTTGAGTGCTTTGCATCATGAAAACAGGTCCGTTCGGAGAGAGTATGCATTTTGACTGCGACCCGCGTATTCAACTCTTGGCGTACCAGTAAAGCAAGCCTTTGGCTTCTGTGGGGTAAGGCAAGCCCTGAGCACACTTAGGCCTTGCAAAGTGTGGACTGTTGTTTCCCGCAAAGGCATGAACCTGTACCACCTAGCAACTCGCTAAGTGCCCCCTCAAGGAAACAGCCAGGGGCTCAAATTTGTTCGGTGCCAATTTGGGCCTGTGGAGTCCATGCGAGGTTCAGGGAAATGTCCAGCAGTCTATGAGTCTATGCTGTTATTTGGGAGGAGCGTGGCGGGGGGACTCACAATCTTTCCTGTGTCCTTTGGGAGCCTGGATTAGACTGAGCCGGGCATGCTGCTCAACATGGGCCAGAGTCAGGTGGTTCGTGAGGACATTGCAGACAAGCCTGGAGTCGCATGGCTTTCGATGCCACGTGCTGACTCTCGCGACATCATCAACATATCGCATGCACGCGGCAGGGATTACCATTTATGTTTCTACAAGGGGGGGCTTTCCACTGCCATGTTTGGGTAGGCAATATGTACCTCTAACTCTCCCGGAGAAGGCCCAAAGGCCCTTCGGCCATCGGAGCCAGGGGAGCTGAAATTGGAGAGCGCCCGCCGGCGATCGGCGGAGCAGAAGGCGCAAGAGCAGCAGCTCCAGGCCTGGAAGATTCCGAGGTTCTTTCTCATGGATGTCATGTCTAGAAACCAGCGACACAAATGCATCTACTGAAAACTGAACTAAAAAAGTACCAAAAGAGGAGGGTGTGTAGCATTTCCTGGTAGGTTTCTTGGACATACATGTCTCAAAATGATGCAGTTGGTGGGTGATCTATCCCACTCACAGGGCTTTATTCATCCCAACTGGTGCAGGACAGTGCACAAAAGGGTGGTTTCCTTCTGGTGTCCCGTTCAAGTTGTTTAATAAGGGTACCAGAATGGAGATAATTTATACAAACAGAACCCATGTCAACCACCAGGGGGGGGTTCGCCCATTTTGTCGCATACCCTATTTTTTGTGATGGTGGACATGAATCCCCACATGGATCATCTCCACGTCCTCAGTTAAATTCATGCCCGGATGGGATACTGTTCGTCCGAATCTGCCGATGGTCAAGCAGCCTCATCGATGTAGCAGTTTCTTAGAGCAGGATCGCAAGGAATTGAGGAGCTACAGTTCACTTTATGGATTGCGATGGTTTGCTACAAGCTGCTGCTACACATAATAAGTTATAAGATTGCGCGGATAAATGCCAATCCAACCGCGGAAATGGCGGTAGTTATTTTCGTTGATCTCGGTCTCATCTCGGCTCTGCTTTGCTTGCGGAGGCAGCCCGCGACTGCGGTAGCGGTGAAGCTTGTCACCCGCAAAGTTGCTAAGCCTGAGAAGGTCCCTTTCAAATGAGATCCACCCAAATGACTCTTAGAACCTGCTTGGATTGAGGAGACAAATGAAGGAACCCTGTGGACGGTGCAGGGGCTGAACCTCTAGTTTTGCTTACTTTAGGTTGCCGTGACCTGTCATTTGCCTAGTTGAAGTTGCTGTGTCCATTAATGTGCTATTTTTGGGGAACGGTGCTTTCCATTTGTTTACTCACCGTGCTTTTCATTTGCTGCTATAGGTCACCCTTAGCATTTCCATCCTGAGCATCGGTGCTGCATGCTTTGTGTGTCATTTCTGCGACCCGCAGGGAACTTTGTGCATATACATCCGGATGAAACACACGAACAAGCTAAAATAGGGCAGCGGGATCTCAAGAAGGGGCTAAATAATTACACCGGTTTTTCTCCTGTGATCATGAGATAATTTGGATTTACCCGAGCCATCGGCAGTCACCCCAATGCAGGTGCAAACTGAGCGCTGGGGCAGCGGGATGTTATGCATGGTCAGGTGTCCACACTGGCTTTAGCCTATGCGTAGCTATGCGGGTTAGCTTGTCGCGGAAATACGGATCAGTAACATCGCTAGCTTCGAAAGTGTTTGGAGGTAGGCCCGGCAACAACTTGGAAGGTACTTTCCCGGGTAGCTTCTTCAGCAGGTTTTTTTCAGTCAATTGCAGCAATGTTGGTGCCCGCCGGCGATATGGCAGCAAAGATGAGCAAGGCAGAGCAAGCTATGGGTAAAACTTTCGGTTTCAGCTGCATGATTTTCTAGAGACCCTGCCCCCAAGGATCCCTCATGATCCCTTTTGCCAAAGATTGCTCGTGGAAGCTTGCCAAACACATGGCGACTGGCAAGCTGCTGCCCGAAAATAAGAACTTAAGAATTCCATCTTGGTAGGGTAGTCCTTTTGGATGTTCATCTCCAAATTCGACCCTCAAAATGTCGCGTTTTCCCTTGGGATTCCCTTTGGTTTCCACCCCTTTGAGGGGTTGCCAGGTGGAAAAGCTGAGCTCCAAGCCGAGCCCCATCCCCTCAGGCGGACACGACTCAGTGCTCGGCGCACCCCCTCCAAATGCCGTCTTTGGTCGTGTTGACCTTTTCAGTGTTGTTTTTTCTCCCCCTTTTTTTGGTGTTGGGGTGGTGGCATGATGTCAAGCCCTGAGTAAAAGTATACACTGGAAAATATGCAGTTTCTCGGGAACATACTCCAAACAACGGCTATGCAGGGTGAGCTGGGTGTCTAGGGAAGGGGAGTGATGACAAGGTCCGGCGAAGTGGAGACTTTTTCATGCATCCACCCGCAGATGTGCGATGTGCTGCAAATCCCTCTTCGTCAGCTTTGGAGGAAAGCCAACAGGAAACCAAGCGTGCTTACAGCAATAGGGAGTGTCTTGTCTTTGCAGGTACCCCTAGAGACCGGAATTCTCATGATAACCCTCTTGGCCCCGTTTTGTTTCGGAAATTGCGAGCAGATTTATGTTAGTGTTTTTTTCCTTTTTTATTTATTTGTTTTTCCCCCGTTTGTTTGTCCCCATTATTAGTTCTTTCGCTTTTGGCTTCTTGGCTTTTCGGCTTTTTTAGCTCCTTGGCTTGTTGGCTTCTGGGCTTCTTGGCTTTTCGGCTTCGTGTTGGCTTTTGCTTTGGCTTTTCGCATCCTCTGCATTCCCAGTTCCTCCAGCAGGTGGTGTTTTGGCTTTTGCGGCTTTTCGCTGGTTTATTCGGCTTTTTGTGGCTTTGGCTTTTCGCATCCTCTGCTTCCCAGTTCCACTGCCAGCTTTTTGGCTTTTGCACCCTGTCATTGGTGTTTGGCTTTGGCTTCCCGCATCCTCAGCGTCACCAGTTCCTCCTTGTTTGAATCATCATTTCCCCCTAACCCCCGCTCTGCTTTTTAGATTGTTTGCAGAGAATTTGCACCCCTATTTGAATCATCACTTCTTCAAACATCATGGGGGGGGGTGCCGCCTCCCCCAACCCCCCCCCCCCCAACTTGCAATTTAATTGCACTCCTATTTGAATCATCACTTTTTTCGAGCATCCAATTTCGCGAGAAAATGCTGTAAAATAAAACGTTTTATGTGGTCTATGTAACCTGTGTGTGTGTCTAATATATAAAAATATATGCACTTCTTCGAACATTATTATAGGGGAAGCCACCCCCGCCAACCTCCCTTCTATCGCACCCTTTCTTGAATCATTGCACCCCTATTTGAATCGTCACTTCTTCGAACATCATGGGCGGGGGCTACTTCTTAGATTTTCTACAGAGATCTGATTGCGCACCTAATTGAATCATCACTTCTTCGAACATCATGTGGGGGGGCGGTTGTCCCCCCCCGCCTAACCCCCCGCAACTTATTTACTTGCACTCCTATTCGAATCATCACCGCAGAAATCATAAGGGGCTACCGCCCCCAACGCCCCCCGCTACTTCTAGATTGTGTTACAGCGATGGAAATGCCCGCCTATTTGAAGCATCATTTTTTCGACCCGTCAACCCGCCAGCGACTTTCTAGATTTTGTTACCCACGATTTGTTGCTGATGCTGTTGAAAGCGATGCTGGAAATGTTGACGGGCTAGTGTAAAATACGTCAATTTCGCGAGAAAATGCTGTAAAAGGCGACATGTTACTGGCCCGAACGAAAGACAAACAAAACAGCAGAGAAAAAAAGAAGCAAATAAAATATACGAAATAAATCCGTACCCCTATTTGGTGACCATCGCTGTTGGTTGAGGTACCTCTGCAAAAGATTCGGGTTGGAGTTGCGAAGGTAACTTTTTTTCCGCGAAAGTTTGCATAGCTTTATCTTGTAAGTCACTGACATGTGAAAGCAGTGTATCTGTTCTGTTGTGCCTTCTTTCCATAGCTAATTAGACTTGAAACCCTTTGTTGCTTTTGTAGCTTGCTCGCAGCTGCTCGTTTAGGTGATAAAGGCTGGTGAGGCCACAGCTTGATACCCTGCTTGGCTGGTTAGTGCTCCAAGTGTGTGTGTGTGTGTGCTCTTAGTCGGTGGTTTCACGCTCTGAAGTGTGGCTGGTTTTTCGCGAAAGTTTCGCGAAAGATTTACGAAAGCCCGCGCGAAAGCGCCGAGTGAAGGGGCCAGTGTAAGAACCAGCTCAGCTGGAGCTGCGGAAGTCGATTTCGTGTGCCAAATTGGTACTGAAAAGTTACGACTTGCCAACTGGAGCTGCGGAAGCGCATTTCGCCTACTGCACTTGGGCTGAAAAGTTGTTACCTTCCAGGCAGAGCTGCAGAATCTCATGTCGCGCAAAACCCTTCTTATTGTTGCGGCTGTCCAGCCGGAGCTGCAGAAGCGCATCTTACTTACTACGCTTGCACTTAAAAGTTGCAAATTTCTGACTTTAGCAGTTGAAAGTGCACGGCGAGGAATCCGCGAAAGTCGCTTGTTCTTCGTGCTAGCTCGGCGCACGGTCTGAAGTCTTCAAGACGTCATCGAGACAGCAAGCGCTGCAATCGTATTGAGTGTTCGGCAAGCAGAACACTAGCTGATGCTCCGCGAAGACCCATCAAAGCGATTGAACACACACAACATACACACATCATCACACATCATCATGAAGTCCCTGACAAATACAAGATAATACAAGCACCCCTTTGAAAGTGAGTTGCCATGCAAAGCAGGAAGCTGCAGGCGAAAGCAAGCTGCAGCATGATTCGGGAGGTTGACACCCCTTGTTGGGCATGGCAGGGCAGAGCTTGGGCAATTTTCCCTGCGCCAGTCACCGTTTCGTTTGCAAGTGACACCAGATCTAAAAGCATGTCATCCCCCAGCAGCCCCACCCATAGCAAACAAAGCATGTCGAAAATGATCTCACCCGGTCAAATTGCACATTCTTGTAGGAGCGTGTGCCAGCTTAAAGTATAGTTTCGTTTTTGCATGCCAGACTTGCCCAACCCAACAGCGGCATGACTTTAATGAATTGGTTGGACCCTTTGGTTGCCAACCAGTTTTGAGTTGGTGCTTCACTCGTTCAGAATCAGCACTCGTTCAGAATCAGAACCAAACAGGATCCCTAGGATGAAGAAACTGTTCTGTTTTTGTTGAAGGGAGCACGCCATGACACTGTGGTTCCGTCGGACTTGCATGTCCAACCTTTCCAAGAACCCAATCAAGCACACAGACACACACACACACACACACCACCACATGGCTGTTTCTACACACCACGTGGCTGTTTCTAGAAACTCGGGATTCCACCGGTGTTTTGTTTTTCTGATCTAATCTCCAAGCATCCCTCGCACTCCCACCCCCGTCGAGGCTTCCGGGACTCCGAGCTGCAACAGCTGCGCGCGCAGGCGCTGGTCCAACTCGGGGAAGTGAGGAAATTCCAACGCGGGTCACTACAGGCGAAAGGCGAAAGGTTCAAAACTCGACATTTCGGGCGGAAGCGAAAGAGATGGTGTCATTCATATCAGTTGGGCCCTGACATTCTGCATATCTTTTTGATTGCAATTTTATAGGTCAAGAAGCTCGTGATTTTGGTGTGGACATGTGTTTCTCGTGGAGACGTGTTCAGTTTTCATGGGCGCACACCCCATTGTAAAGTTGATCAACTGAGTTCCAAAACCACATTGTGTGACTGCCCATGGTATAGGTCTTGCTATACATACGTACTATATGGCACAGCTCATCAAGTTGAAGGAACTTTGCCAAGTGGGTAGCTGCTAGCTTCTTAGTCCCTGAGTGCTGCACTTTGGAAGTGAAAGTGAGGCTTTAGAATTCGTGCAAGTGCCCGGTGGTCTTGAGCCCTACCTTGCCACAGCCAGGTGAGTGCAGTCACCCAGCAGCGCGACTCTTTGCAGCAGGACGGGCGCTGTGACGGGAGGTACGTGGCAAGGCGGTCCTTTAAAGTTTTGGGCCAGGGAAAGCTTTCACCAGAGCCTTATTACAGTATCAAGTTCGCCCAAAAAAGAGAGTTGAAAACCAAGGGCGAGCTTTGGCATGAGTGTTACACCCTTGCTGACTCAAGGAGGGTGCGCCTTGGGTCTAGTCAGGTGTCCAATCTACAATTGGAATCAGCAAATCCCGGTTGGCTTTGCGCCTCCATAACTCGGCAACCGCGGCCGGGGCCGCGTTCACTCAGAAATACCCCCCATAATTATTTGCCTTGTTTATCGATTGATAGCACGTGGCCCTTCCTTCCTACCATCACAGATGCACTTATGCTGGGCAGCCACGTATGGAAGAGGCTCCTCAGCAAGGGAGGATAGTATTGCTTTGCTTTGAACGCCGGCAGGCTGGTCGGACTGAATTGCGCCCAGAAAAGTGTAGAACAGCCTGCTGGATGTTAGTGCGGGGCCCCTGACAAGTCTTCCAGGCGTCCCACCACGAGTACAGATTAGGAGCAGGGATGCCTTCAATTCGAAGAGCTCAGTTTGTTCGATCCGCTTTCAGGAGACGCTGAAACTCCAGCAACGCCTGGAAGCTCGAGGCGGGATGGCCGCGCCGAAAGCTAATGTTGCTGCAGCTGGTCGAAGTGTCGGCGATTGCTGCGGGTCCATGTCTTGTTTCATTGGGTTAAAATGCATGTGTTTGTCCCAATCTATTGGTTGGCCACCGACAGCATATACACACACACACATATATATATATATATATGTAATATACCGTCTTGCTGCCCGCTCCCGAAAGAATAGGCTAAGCGTGAGAGACGAAGCGTCATGTGAAGGAGAATCCGCCCCGTCTTCAATATCAGGGAGATTGGCCTCAAAGCAGGGGGCGATCGTTGGGGTTTTGCTGTGTTTAACATGCTGCAACATAGGCAGGTGCCCAGAGACAACGGAGTATAGGCCCTGGTAGTAGCATCACGACCTGAGATTGACCAGCATGTCCTCCGGCTCCACTTTGAGTAAGAAATTGGAGGCGGTTTCTTTTCACCTGAGAATCAGTGCAGGCGATTCAAGTGTCAACGTGGCACTGGCGCAGAAGTTCGAGATGGCTTTGCAAGCCATCGGCAGGCTGCAGGACTGAAATGTACCCATGCCTTCTCATTCCGTGAAAGGAAGCAGGTGCCAACAACATTTGAGTGATGGCATGCCGCTACATCACCAATAGTAGGAACGCTGAAGTGATTCTATTTGAGCTTTTTGATGGAAGGCTTAATGGCCTGTTTCGACACGTGCTGTGACCAACAAATCGCCCAGAGCGCAAACCACTCTCCCAGGACATGTTGTTCCATCATTGCTCCCCATCAGTGCCTTTCCCCTGAAACTTGCCGATTCTTGACTCTTCCATCATGCATGGAAGTGGGCTGGCAGGGGCATGCTTCTTGTGCACTTCCACAGGTTCTAAAACGAGGGCAACCCATCAATTTGATGATAATTTCAATGGCCGCCATGCACTCTTGAGGGCCCCTACTTTCAAGCCCGTACGAGTCATCTTATCATTGGAACTGCCATCTACTTCCACCCACCCTCCAAAAAATATGATTGCTTTGTTCCCCACATCATTGTGTGGGGTTCTTACTTTTACCGCTCGTCGTCCGTCGCCGCTGCCTCCTTCCTCACTCACTCACTCACTGACTCTCACTCACTCACACTCAGTCACTCACTCACTCACTCACTCACACACACACACACTCACTCACCCACCCACCCACTCACCCACTCACTCACACTCACTCACACTCACCCACCCACCCACCCACCCACCCACTCACCCACCCACCCACTCACTCACTCACTCACTGACTCACTCACTCACTCACTCACTCACTCACTCACTTTCCCGCGTCTGGGTGTACGTTTGCGTGGCATGGGCAGCATTTGGAAGGGATTGGATGTTGTCGAGCGCGCGGCTGGGGGCCCCGTTTTGCGTGACAGGCGCAGCACTGTGGAGATGGCTTGCAAACTTCGTGGCCTGCGCAGCTTTTCCTGCATCTGAGTGTATGTTTGCGTATTGTTTGCGTGGCATGGACCGCATTTGTTGGATGTTGTCGAGCGCGCGGCTGGGGGCCCCATTTTGCGTAACAGGCGGAGTATACTTTGGAGATGGCTTGCAGATTTCGTGGCAGGCGCAGCATTTCCGGAAAGGGATTGGATGTTGTGGAGCGCGCGGCTGGGGGTCCGGTTTTGCGTGACAGGCGCAGTACTTTGGGGATGGCTTGCAGATTTCGTGGCAGGCGCAGCATTTCGTGCATCTGGGTGTACGTTTGCGTGGCAGGTGCAGCATTTGGTAAGTGTCTAAAGGGGTTGGATGTTGTCGAGCGCGCGGCTGGGGGCCCCGTTTTGCGTGACAGGCGCAGCGCTTTCGAGATGCCTCGCACATTTCGTGGCAGGCGCAGCATTTCCTGCATCTGGGTGTACGTTTGCGTGGCATGGGCAGCATTTGGTAGCTGTCTAAAGGGATTGGATGTTGTCGAACGCGCGGCTGGGGGCCCCGTTTTGCGTGACAGGCGCAGCACTTTCCAGCTCGGCTTGCAGATTTCCCGGCGGGTGCAGCATTTCCTGCATTTGGGTGTACTTTCGCGTGGCATGGGCAGCATTTGGTGGCTGTCTAAAGGGACTGGATGTTGTCGAGCGCGCGGCTGGGGGCCCCGTTTTGCGTGACAGGCGCAGTACTTTTGGGATGGCTTGCAGATTTCGTGGCAGGCGCAGCATTTCGTGCAGGGGCAGCACTTTGGGGATGGCTCGCAAATTTTCGTGGCAGGCGCAGCATTTCCTGCATCTGGGTGTACGTTTGCGTGGCATGGACAGCGTTTGGTAGCTGTCTAAAGGACTGGATGTTGTCGAGCGCGCGGCTGACTCCCTCCCTCACTCACTCACTCACTCACTCACTCACTCAGTCATTATCGCATGGCCACCAGAGAGCCATTCACTGAAAAAATGCGCATGTGGGGTTGTCCGGTCCTTAATTTTTCTTCAGCAATCTATTTCCACTCTCTTTAAAAAAAGGATTGTCGCTTAGGTTTTCTTCCTCACGTCATTGTGCGGGGTTCTTACTTTTACGCTCGTCGCCCGTCGCCGCTGCCTCCTCCTGCTCCTTCCTCCTCCCGCCTCCTTCCTCCTCAACACTCACTCTCTCTCACTCACTCACTCACTCACTCACTCACTCACTCACTCACTCACTCACTCACTCACTCACTCACTCACTCACTCACGCACTCACTCACGCACTCACGCACTCACGCACTCACGCACTCACGCACTCACGCACTCACGCACTCACGCACTCACGCACTCACGCACTCACGCACTCACGCACTCACGCACTCACTCACGCACTCACGCACTCACTCACTCACTCACTCACTCACTCACTCACTCACTCACTCACTCACTCACTCACTCACTCACTCACTCACTCACTCACTCACTCACTCTGGGGACAGGCGCGGCACTTTGGCGATGGCTTGCGTGGCAGGCGCATTTGGGTGTATGTTTGCGTGGCATGGGCAGTATTTGGTAGCTGTCTACAGGGGTTGGATGTTTTGCGTGACAGGCGCAGCACTTTGGAGATGGCTTGTAAATTTCGTGGCGGGCGCAGCATTTCCTGCATCTGCGTGTATGTTTGCGCGGCATGGGCAGCATTTGGTAGCTGTCCAAAGGGATTGGATGTTGTCGAGCGCGCGGCTGGGGGCCTTGTTTTGCGTGACAGGCGCAGCGCTTTGGAGATGGCTTGTAAATTTCGCGGCCCATCACGCACGCACGCACGCACGCACGCACGCACGCACGCACTCACTCACTCACTCACTCACTCACTCACTCACTCATTCACTCACTCACACTCACCAAGACCCATTCACTGAAAAAATGCGCATGTGGGGTTATCCGGTCCTTTAATTTTGAGCCTCTCCAAAACTGCGTCGGTTGCTTTGGTTTCTCCTGGGCCCCACCCCAAAACCCCGTGGTTTTTCCCATGCGCGTCGTTCGCGCAGCACGCGTCAGGAGGACCTCGAGGCGTGCCAGGCCCAGCGGGACTCGCTGCAAGCGCCGGGCGCCCGGATGCGACTCCCGAAGGACGTGGCAGAATCGGGGGCCCAAGAAATGGGCCGCCCTTGCCTTTGGCTTTTCCTTTAAAAGAATAACCCCCCCACAAGAAGAAAGGAGCAGAGCACCCATGTTTTTCCCTTTTTGTTGGTCGTTTCAAGTTAGTTTTTGGTTGGGCCCGTGCCTGGTGAGCTTCTCTTGGTAAGCATGATGTGATTAGCTTGGGCATCTTGGGAATGTGCGAATCCGGGTGCTTTTAATCTCAAGCAGTGCTCGTGGGAAGCCATGGGAAGAGTCATATAAAATGGCTGGCGTGCCCAATGTTTTCAAAGCCAGGTCATCTCGTGTTTTTGTTCTTCTGAACGGCCAATAGCATATCAAAGGCTGTCCGATTCCCACGCAAGGGTGCATGTTGCGTTTCCCCAAGAAACAACTCCAACTCGCAACTGGAGACCACGAGGATGTGAATTGGTTGCACGGAGAAATACTTTCAATTTCCACAAGTAACGCACGGGAGGATGGATAAAATACATGTTTCTCCAGCCCAATAAATGCATAAATCTAACTGTGAAAAGGTAGCCAAAGGTGATGGATGCTGTGTGATTAGATCCAGCCCATTAAAAGCAAGCTGCAGCTCAGATGATCAATGATTCATGGTGTCCTCCCCCAACCCATCCAAGAAATCATCTGACTCTCAAAACAAAACCACGAGGGCATGGGTGGCGTGTACTTCTTGCACCGGGGTATTCTGCAATGATTTGATGTGTGGACCGAGGTTGGTCCCTGACATGGGCGCAAAAAGCGGGCTCGCCTGAAGGGAACCCCTACGGCAGACAAGCTGAACTCGTTCTTTGAACTTGTGCCCCCGGCTCATTCCAATGGTTTCATGTTGTTTCCGTGTGCCACCAATCCAGACACAGTCTCGTTTTGCGTGTCATGTGGAACCCAAATCAATCGGCTCATTCTTGGCCCACCCAAGCCCAGCAAGTAGGATTCCCGTGGGCCAATCAGATTGGCTTCTGCTTAGCCAATGAATTGGGTCCTGTCTCAGCTGCCTGCCAGCACAACCACCATACCCCGTAGCGGACAGGCTTTTCAATGGTGTTTGGGGCGGGGTGGGGTGGGGTCGGTCAATAGTAAGATGGAGCCATGCATTGCCTCCCATTTGTGAGCCAAGATAAGTGGTGCGGCATATCACTGTTCGGCTTTGAGAGCCTTTGAGGTGTTTTTGCACAAGTTACTCTGAAACACCCAGGCTTGGGGGGTTGGCTTGAGGACCCAGGCTCAAGACATTTGATGGAGTGCCATTTGGCTGTTCCATGATTCACTGGGGTCCTTGTCAACGTGTTTAGCAAGCCTTTTCTGTCATAGAGGCAAACAGCCAAGGAAAGTACAGACATGATCCTGATCAGCGCGTTTGGTTTTGGTCCGCACCTCCGACCAAGGCGGTGCGCTCAACTGGCCGCTTAGAAGCAAGGAGTGGTCGCCCAGTCAACATATACGCCTCACAAAACGAAGGTTGGCATTCTGCATGGGACAGCGTGGGGGTGCTTTAGACAAGCTGGGTTTTAAGCGTGCACATAAATGTACGCACATACATCTTTATGTACGCAAGTAATTTTCATCCTTATGTACATGTACGAATGAGCGTTGCAAGAAGTAAACCAATGTTGATGCCATCTACATGTTCAAGTGGCCCTCCTTCAACCACAGCCACGGTCCAAAATACCACGCTGCATTCTGAAGTGAATCCTTGCCCAATCTTTCCAATGCCACCCTGAGCAAGGGTTTGTATTCCACAGTGGCATCCCACGCCAAGGAATATGAGGTTTGGAAACACGGCTGATTGTGGCCGTTCGAATCGATATTGTCCATGACTCAAAGCGTTGCAATCAGTTGCGGGTAGGTACTCACGTTGGTTCAGATATGCACAAAAATCGCCTGTCCAGATGACAATTGCCCACATACAATTCCTAGAGCCAGTGCGAACCATTGTGGCTTCCTGCTTTGCTATATTTTCTGACTTTGCTGCTTCTAAGCAGGTTCCGAAATTCAGTTTGCATCACATGATGCGTGCAGAATCCTTTCACCCATTTTGCGTTATAAGGCAAAATTGTCGCCAACGTCACAGGTTGTAACTCATGACTAGTATGCAATTTGCAGCGAATGAGGATCTGGATGTGTAAATGGGAATCGGCCATTTGTTCCCTTGCTTGGCTTTTTTTGAGTAAGGTGCTTGCAGTGTTGGTTCAGAATGTGCTTGGTGTTGGATGAGACTCATGGTCCTTACTGTAAGCAGCAATCAGTATTCCGGACACATGCCAGCCATTTGTCCCACCCTGTTGCCTAAACAGTGCCAGCACAGCGACCAGTCAGCACTTGCAAGGGCTCCTGCGAGAAGGACGTTGCATGCTTCGCTTCGCAAGGCCGGCAGCTGACATTGATTGCCTGGGTGCTGGTCGCGGCATGATCCACACGCAGTTGGTGCAAGCAAGCTGGTCAAATCGGACGCTCCAGCGATAGGCATGCATTAGCGCGCCGTGCATAGACTCAACCCACCTGCCCTAGCATCTTTCACAGCATGGGTTTCGAGCTTGGGCATGGGCAAGGTTTCGACCAAGCTTGCATGCTTGCTGTGAGCGTTTATGTTTGGCTTGGACAATGAGGCACTAAACTCGCATCACTAAACCTATTGTCTCATTTGTCAGTGTGGTACGTTACGCACGCGCAACCTGGGCATTGTTTGTCTCAAAGGCACCTGGTATAGGCTATTGTCGATTCTAGTTCGTGCCATCTATCCCTGCAAGGCCACTGATTGCACAGAGGCACGCCAGGCAGGTTTTCGTGGGCATTGAATGGTGACGTCCTCCCTCAGCTTATGCAACCAACAAGGCTGTTCAGGACAGTTCGAATGGGGTTTGTCAGTATTTGGAGGAGAAGGAGCTTTTCGACCCAAAGTTTGCATGGCAAGAAGGGTGCAAGTGGTTCAAGCAGCCAATGGCACTGTTTCTGCCGGTCACCTTGCTCAGAGCCAAGGGGCGTGGAAAAGCCAAAGGGCACGCGCCGTAGTACATAGAGCCTGCGCTTGCCCTTGGGCCTTGTTGTCGCACGTTGCTATTGTAAGCTGTCAGGCTCATGGCCAGAGCATGCCAGAGCGCTCATTCTTTTCCGAGCATTATTTTGATTACTCTTCCCCAAAGACAGCTATATATATATGTGATGGGGATGTCCCACGATATTTGTGTGCCACGTTACCTTGGACCAAAGTCATTCAACAGCGACAGCAACGACACCCAAGGGGCCACGGCAGAAAGACCCAGAGCGAGCCGAATCCGGTGGGCAAAGAAACTGTCGCGAAATTATGTGTTTGAGTACGGACATGTTCAACCTGCACAAGGTCCATCCAGTTCAGATTGGTACTCGACAGGGGCAGACGCATTTCTGCAATTTCGTGGGTGAAGTGCTCCCGACATGTTGGCTCAACAAGGGCTACTCAGCAGCTATTGCTTGAGCGATGCACTTTACCTAGCAGTTTGCCGTGGTTTCCCGGTGGTAGCGGTGTTAACTTGGTAGCCAGTTTTCAGAAGTATGAATTGAGTGTGTCCTCGCGGATTTGTTCCCCATCCGTCAGGTGAGGTTGATAGACTCTTGCAAAAATCCCCCCCAGCCAGGAGCTCCCCCGATGCGCAGTCAGTCAGATACAGATGCACCAGATAGGCAGTCAAATGCAGATGACAGATGCAAGAGTCAGTCAGAAGATGCAGATGCATAGCTCGTCAGTTGCAGACAACAGATGCAAGGGAGCTGAATACGTCCGGGTTTGAGCATTTGTTTGGGGCCACCAGGTACGTGAAGGCCCAGTGTATTTGTGTTGGTCCAGATCTGTCTACGCTGTATGCATGTCTGGGTTGGGCCAGAGATGTGAGGGCAGAGGCCAGACGCAAAGGTCTGGGTTGGAGCGTTGCACGGGGCCTGATACGCACGTTGTGCGCGCTGGCTGGGAACACCTGGGGAAGCGGGAGCAACTCGGAAAACTTGGCAGAAAAACCGGACGCAAACAAATCGGCAAAAGCTGGCCGGAAAAACTTGGCAAACCGCGAGATCCGACGATGCGCAGATTCCTGAGAATAGTGGCGGCGCAAGTCTGGGCGGGGATTCCTAGTAATTAAAAGATGGATCGTTGTCGCAGATATAGTTATGCGTACGGCAAGTGGGCCCGCATCACTAGATGTAAAGCAGCGTCAAGCATTTCTGTGGATCCTGCCGCCCAGGTGCTGTGCTCCCAAGCGCCGGGCCTGCGGTCTTGGTCGCGACGGATGTGGCGGCGCGGGGCGCGGGCCTCGGGTTTGGGCGGGGCAAGCGCTCACTTCTCCAGTCTTTGAAGTGTATCAATCTGCTTGGATTTTTGGGAGGGCCGGTGACAACGGTCAGCGTTTGTGTGAAGTGTAAGTGAAATCAGTTTGCCTGTGCTGGATGCCTATTTTGCTTCCAGCGGACATGAGGCCGGCGAGGGCTGCTTTTGATTGGCTCGATGCTGCCTGCGTGTGTGCTTGGCTGCTTCGCTCAACTCTAGCATGCTGCCCTTCTGTTTGTGCAAGCCCTGTACTGAACATAATGCCGAGACAGACAGGCTAGTTGCACTACTGCTAAGCCAACACAGCCAATCGTGTTCACCAAATCCATTCATATTCCAAAATCGTGATGGATGTTTGGCCAACTTGGACAGACCCTCGCAGGGAGGGGGTTGTATTCCGAGGACATGTTTCATCAGCATACTGCAAGAACATGCGTGGGTACCAGCAAAAGGTCTTGAGGGGCCTGCGGCAAAAAGGGCTCCTGATGTGATTCCGTGTTGCACATGTCATGCGCCCCCTCCCTGAAAAGCTGTGATTTTCTGATTGTGTGACTGGCACGTGCGAAAACCTTGGCTGGACCTGCACCATCCCCGGGGTTCCATTGCAGTGCCCAAAACTGTTTGGGCATTTCAATTGGGCCCTACTAGTGGTTCCTTGTACTATTTTGTCCCATGGGAAGCACACTCGGGCCAGTGTAAATCTACAGTATGTGTAACAATGTTGGTAGATGAAACAGGAAGCTAATGGGTTTCTGGTTTCCGGTGTGTTCAATTGTAGCTGTCACCCCGGGCAGAAAGCGACGACCCGGCTTGCTCGTGAGCCTCTTGAGGGTAGATGGGAATAACGCGTGCAGAGAACGATGGTGCTAACTGCTCCCGCTTCGCCGCAGATACCTCACTTGGCGGTTGACAAGATTTTGCCGATGTTGGGAAATGAACTTCCGCATGTACTTCACCCAGGGAAGGGTGAGCGGTTGCTAGGAGTTCATGCCTCAGACAGCAGACGAGTATGAGGACAAGCTTCCTTAGTTGCAGCGAACCATACTTTTCGTAGGGCCACCCTCTTTAGACAAGGCCTTTTGAGGCTACACTGCGACCCTGAGCCTGACAGACAAGCATACACCTCCAAACACGACTCTTCTCTAGAGCCCCCGCTTTCATCCGTGTTCCCCATAGCCCATTTCCCATGCCCGCGCCCATACCCCAGCCCTCCCCTCGCCCTTTCACACGACCTTCGAACCATCTTCGGCCCCCAAAAGCAGCAGGTTCCTTCGAAAAGTGATTAAGTGACCAGCACAACCCTCTTGCTTTTACCAAGCTGTAATCACTTGTAGTCCATCTTTCCCCTCGCTTTCGTGCCACAAAGCTCACGTCCGGACTTGGGATTCATGGCCGAGCCTTCCCGGCCCTGGGTGCACCCCGGGGGCGCGGCCGTGCTGGAGGGCCTCAAGTCCAGGAACGCGGGGGAGGGGAGGGGGAAGGGCCATGGATGGGTGGCATTTGTTTGTTTTTTGAGGGGACCCCCAAACTTGTGGCGTTCCATGTGGGTTCCCATTAGAGCTAAGAAAGAGGGTGGATTTCAAGGGAAGTCGAAACGAAACCCGCCAAGAGGGGTGTCCTTTCAGAGAGGACTTCAACCAGTGGACGTCCATTGGAACTTGGCACGGGTCTTCAATTTCCCTTTGAAAAGATCATCATTTGCAAATATGCTATGTTGACGGCTTTCGCTTGAATGGAGCAATGGTTGGCTTGGTCATATTATCCCAAAGCATCAACCAGAATCCACGTGTTTATGCAGTTTTACGACAGGGCCCCTGCCCTGAGAACCATTTGTAGGAAGAGGCAAGGGATCTTTCTGCCCATGGCAAATATCCGAGTGCAAGTCAGACCGATCGGCCTTGGTGTTTTATGAGAACCTTCATCAATATGCTTCCCGTTGACCTTTGGACAACTTAGTGGTTCAACATCAGTGGACCAAATCCGGCATCTTGCTGTTCCAATCCTGTACCCATGCTTGCTCTGGCTCCAGAGGAGATGTCATGTTGGCACTTTTCTAGTGTATGCTCTTTGGCCAAGTAAGGCGGACACGCCAGAATTTCAACCGTCACGTTGAACATGTGGTCACACACAGAGGCCTGTGCATGCCTTCGTTCCTGGGACTAGTTGGAGTCACACAGGAATAGTGTTTAATCAGATTGTCCTTCAGATGAACATGGGACTGACCAAAATGCCCGTTTGCAGGAAACATATCTCCTTTCGGGGTTATTGCTCTGCAGGTGAGAATCGCGTTGCTATCATGGCAGGATTGCCCCAAACCGACGGCAAGTTCGTAAAAGCTCCTTACGGGATGGCACAGGGAAACCAAGAGGAACCCGATACGGCCAGGCCAGAGCTGAATGGACAGGATGCTACTTGGAAGAGGGATCGGGGGTCCGGGTGGATGAGTCACATGATTCCCACTCTGCCAGATGGCGTGCAGTAAGCGACTTGTTGTGCGGGACATTGTTTTCCAAGTATATTCATAGCAGTTTGAATACTGTATATCGAGAATCTAAAGTACAGTTCCTGGGCAAGCTGGCATTCCCACTCAAAGAGTCTCACGACCACTTCTGTCATGCGCTTGGACAAAGCGATTGAGGAAGTAACGCGTAGCTCAGGAGGTCAAGCCTCCTTCCGAAGGAATGCAGAGCTGTGCATGTGCGGGCGTTCATTGCATTAATATATGTGGCAATATGTCTTGTGCTGTGGCCCGCTGGTTCGTCATGTGTCGCTGGGAGCGGATGCAGATGGGTCTTGTCCAGGCTTTCTTGGCAGTAGGTGCTATCAGCGCGTGTGGAAGCTTGGCAAAGACCCTTTCCCCCGCTCCCATCGCTTGGGGGCTTCCCTAGATGCTGGGGCTCAGGCTGCGATTTTTTGCAGGGGCTCAGGGTGGGAGAATGGTGTTTGAAGCAAGCAGACCCTGGCCCGCCCCTTAAGGAAACCAGGAGGTTGTTCAGCATACCGGTTCTTGCCCAGGTGACCATCCAGGCAGCGGAAGGGAACCGGGGGAAGGGACATGACCCGACACCCGTGGATTCCATGGGCCATTGGCCGGGGCAGCTGTTTGAAACCTATCGTGTTGCATGGAATTAGTGGTAAATTTCGGTAAACGTTGTGCCTTTGGACGCTTTGGCTGTCCATCATCTGCCAATTGACCAGCAAAGAGTAGCTCCGACTTCCTGTCGGCCTCTCTGAATCGGCAGAGCAACCAAACATGAAACTGACATGAATGGATTACCTAATTGCATTGCAGGGGTCAACGCCGGGTTCAGTTACGAGGAGATTGGCCTTGGGTCACCCATGAATGCTCAGGTAGCTCACACCTACACCCGCTCCCAGAAGTCTCTTTCAAGGGTACCTGATTCCGCAGGAAAACTGGGGGCACCAACGTGCTCATGCCAGCACCTTGGCCCCTCTTTTCCGGCAAGCGCCTCAAGACCAACTTTCCACTCAAGGGCTCCAAGTCCCATTCCCAGCGATGCCCCTTGAGCCTTGAGAGTGCTTCTCCTTTTCCATCCAATCATGGCCATAGGCCTATGCAAACCTTATGGTGGAGGACAGGAATTGTTTTGTATTTTGTTTCTATGTATCACGTGAATCAATTAAATGTGTTGCTGTGGTTATTCATGCTGATGGCGCTGGTCAATAAGTTCCGGCGGAAGCCGGTCATGCCTTGTGTAGTCAATCCATCCTCGACCTGGCACAGCCCTCGACCAATTCGCAGGCGCATGCGCGGCCTCTTATTCCCCAGATGTTTGGATCCCAATGGTTGGCCCAGGTCCTGCGGGCAAAATGCGCGGGTTAGAGTGGAAAGCAGGGATGCAGTTTTGCAATCGTTTCGACTTTTCGAGGCAAGCCGTGAGATAAATTGCACTTGTGAACAGGCCTGATGGAGCAATGCGTAGAAACTACTGTGATAATCAAGCCAGCAATGCATGCAGCTGCCAGAATCATGCTTGTAAGCTGGCACTCAGCCCAACCAACCCTCTTGCCTATTGAAGAACAAAGAGCAGGGCGGAGGCAAACACAAAGGACACGCGAACATGCACATGTTGTTTACAAGGAGCCGACGCTCAGAAGCAAGGAAAGCTGGCGAGATACAGGAGACATTGCAAGCTGGCCATCCCTTTGCCGCTCAATCTTTTCACTGCAGCATAGCAAGTGGGAGTGTGCATGAAGGGTCTGAGGGCAATTTCCCATGCCTTCGAGAACTCTGGGTTCGCATGCTTGAGCATAGAGCTGGGGTCTTTCTCAGAATCCCGGCAAAGGCCCAAGCCAGGGAGGCACGTTCAAGTTACCTGAATCATACCTCCGAAACATACCTCCACCCCCTGATCCACACCTGCATGTCCTTTCTTTGTTGACTGGAACATACCTCGAAACGGACCGTCAATACATACCTGCGAAACATACCCAAGACGAACCAACACACATCAATTGATACAAATTGAGAAACAGCCAGCAACAGAAGATCAGACACAGAAGTAATCATACACTCGGGGTTGCATTGGATCCTGCATACATGTACTCTTGGAGGCTCGGGATGTGGCCACTGGCCGCTGGCGCTGCAAAGTCGCACCCTTCGGCCGCTCGGCGATTGGCTGCGGGTTGTGGCAGCATTGTGGTCTCGAAGCCCTTGCAGGCTTGACCGGCTTTGTTGCGACATAGTGGGGCAGGAGCAAGCATCGATGTGCTGTGACATGCCTTCATTGCTTCACATTGCATCGTCCTGCGGTGTTTTATTTTTGCCCCCGCGTGCTATCACACGAGAGTTGTTCGGGATTTGCATGTAGGCGCACCTGGCCGACCACTTGTGTCTGACTGAGTTTGCGCAGCATCGTCGTCAGTAAATATGACGATTCAAGCCAAACAGTTGGCCATTGCATGACTTTGAGACTACGCCTGAAGATTGACTTTTTCGCAGCTCCTTTGCTAGCTGCGCATTCATGGCTCAGGCGGGTTGCTGCCTTGACTTGCACAACCCGTCTTGGCCGGGCTGCAGGAAGTTGTCATGCCATGGTCAGCGCAGGTCTTCTGCTCGGAGGTGGCATTTGGGATGGGGGAGGCTATGGGTCCCTTGGCGTTGGCCCGGCTGGGGCTGTGCAGTCCAGCCTTGGCTCGGCACCTTTTGCATCACAACTTCTCCGCGCAGCTCTGCAGGAGCTTGGCGCTGAGAGACCCGTATTGGAGCACCAGGGACAACCTGACGCTGGAGTTTCTCGCGATTTGCTTTGCTCTGCGCTCCAGGCATGGGCAAGTCGCAGGGCCAGCGCCAACTCACAACTGGTCCTTGGTGGATTGCCTGATTTGTTGGGCCTGGTGTTTTTTCGGGCGCTTGGTGCAGGTCAGGATGACAATCTGCAGGCTTTGTCGACGTGGCTAATCCAGTGGATTTCCAACGGATGACAGGATTGGCATGAATTGGCCAACCCTGCAACAGCCCAGTACTCGCGCCATTTCTTTTCGTTTTAGCCTTGGTCTTGACCAATTCCCCTTTCTCAAGGCGTGCTTAGTGCCATGTGGCCAAGCCATATGGCAGACGTGAGTCAAAGGCAGCTTGCAGCATCTTGCAGCAGCGAGCGCTGAGCCTCAGAATTTGCAGAGCAAACTCGTTCGTCCCCATGGCATGTCCAATTTCAATGTGGCATCGGTTTAGTCGAAACACAAATGCTGAGGAAGGTGCTTAAAACCAAAGAGCCGATGGTTCTGAATCTGCAAGCATGTTTTTTGCTTTCTTATCTTTCTGCATCCGACCGTCGTCCGTGCAGTCAGGGACACCCGAACTGCAGTGAGGTGTGATCCGTGAGCAGCTAGGCACCTGCCTGCCGGGAAGACCAAAAGAAATGTGCAAGGTGAAAAGTGCCGACCAAAGTGTGGCATTTGAATTGGTGCCTTAGATTAGTCCTGCTTAAAGGCTGAATGATACAAATAAAACATCGAAATTTTCGCTGTTCATGCGAACCTGAGGTGGCTGCACCAGGTTGGGGCTTTGAGCTGGCTGCAGATGACAGACCAAGCAGAGTAGCACGCCACTCTTGGTACCTGCTGCCATGCAAAGTCCTTTTGGCCAAGCAACTAAAGGAAGTCTGCTCAACTTGACTACGCTTGGCTTGCATCCTTTGGTGTGCTGTCGCTGTGGCTTTGGGTGTGTTGGAGCGCTCTTGCTGTGGCGCAGTCCGAAGCCCTTCTGCAGACTCTGGGTGGGTCGCTCTCGCTTTGGCGCGGTGCCGAATTTGGGACGTCAAAAGCGAACCCTCTGCGGATCGCTGTCGCTTCAAAAGTGAACCCCTTTGCTGACTTTAGGTGTCGCACAGGGACCCGCAAAAGATACTCTTGCAAGAGATCTTGTAGATCTTGACAAAACTTAAACACATAGAGGGTCCCCTCATGCTGAAGAGATCCTGCGCACTGATCTTGCCAGGGGATCCTTTCAAGAGATCTCTCGCAGCTTCTGCATTTTTTCCAGGATATCTTGCGCTGGTTCTTCATAATTTAAAGAGCCCTGGCGCGAGGACCTGAGAAGATTTCTCCAAGTGGTCTTGTCGAGGATGCCCCCTAGAGACTTTGAACAGAGAAATTTGGTAGAAATGATCCTGTCATGGATTCTGCGCACATCATGCCAAGAGACCCCGCCCAGCCATCTTGTGCAGAGATCCTGCAAAGATCCTCTCCCAAGAGACCTCCTTCATAGAATTCATCAGCAATAGTTTGCGCTTGTGCAATTGCGTTCGCACGTGCTTTCGTGCATGTTTGCTTGTCTTGCGCGTGTTCGCACCAGGCTTTCCACAGCCAGCAGCCAAATTGCTAAAGAAGTGATCCTCTTACCTGAGAGCGAAACCAACAAATCAATGTGGATCGTTTCAGCTCAGGTGAAGAGATGAAGTTCAAGGCAGAGAACTTGGGAGAACCCCCGGAGAAGGAGGAGCCCATTGACGCAAACTGGTTACGCCGCGGCGTGCAGGAGCCGGGCCGTGGGATTGAAGTAACAGTGCGGCCAAGCGTTGCCTTGCAGCCCTGGCGCAAGTTGGGCTGAGAAGCCAGCTGTTCACTCGGCGTGGGACCATGGTTGCAGACGGCCTCATTCCAAATGTCCCCGTGAAGTTGTTATATACATTCAGCTCAGCAGCTTTGGCTCTTGTTCAGCTAGCGTTTGCTTTGCAATTGGTCTCTATGGATCCATGCAGCGTCTAGCTGCAATATCCTCCGCCGCCGTCAGGCAGCGGTCAAGGACTTGCCGGAGCATGAGGGCCAGGCGGGCCCAACCTTCAGGGCCCATACCAATACCAGGAGCATCTATGGCATTGGTTTGGCAGAACCTAGGTAACTGCAGTATACCATTGCTCATGACGGTCAAGGAAGAGCATTCCCAAATGTACCATCTCGGAAACTCAATCTGGCTGTTTGCACATCTTTCCAGTGCCGCATGTGCACAGCGGTCGCCAGTCCCATGTCGAGTCTTTGGCAGGACCTGCCCTCCATGACGTTACCAGAAAAGGGAAGCATAGGGAAGCCAAGCTGGAACCAAGGATTTGGAGGGCCAATTTAGGGTAATTAGTCAGTATTTGGAAGGCTCAGCATTCTAAGCACTGATTCCCCGTGAGTTTTTGTCTGGCGCAGATCGTACGTGTGGTCACGGTGGATGGCGACACCGGCAGCTGCAAATGTGTGCTGCGATCCTCTGGCGAGGCTATTGAGGCGAGAACCTTTGGCACGAACAAAAATCCAGGTACCCTTCCTCCAACACTCATCGCAGTGGACAGAGTCAATTAATTCGGAGGACCCTCCAAATTAATTCGGAGGACCCTCCAAATCAGACGGTTTGCCGGCCAAAAATACAACTCCTCCCACCTTTTGGAGGGGAGCAAAAGCAAGTGAGTTTGATCTTAGGTTGTGCCTTGGGATCCCTTGGTCCATAGCCCTTGTTGCAATGGACAGGCCTGGAGCTGACCAAAAACATCGCTGGACTTCTGGCGGTTGCTCCTTGTTTTGTGGTTGGATGTTTGGTTTCTGCCGCTGTGAGAACGTAAACGGTGGAACTATTGAACCCAGCAATACAAGAAGACGGTGTTGTACGTTGAAGCTTTTGGAGGGCTGAGACGTATGGGCGAAGCAAGCCGAGAGCAAGCTGATCCAATCGAACCTCTCAGGTTCCATCGGTTGGAACTCGGAAGGGCCCCCTTTCCGTAGTTGTCACCTCGCACAAACATATCGAAGCAATGCCTTTGCGCAAGGGAGGGTGAAGGAATTTGGGGTATCTACTTTCACCCTGGAAGCATGACGATTTGATTGCCTTGGGTTTGGTGACAGATGGCTTGCGGCAGTTGTGCCAGGACTTTGGGTCATGGCCGTGCCCTTTTTAACAAAGAAACATGGAACCTGAACGGAGTTCAGTGGAGGAATACCCTGTGCTTTAAAGATTCGATTAACTTCCATGTTCTTTTCTCGTTGAAGGGGTTGATTTGTGCATTGCAGTGCCTTGCAGCCGATCCGAGTCCATTCCTGTGGGGCCAGCGCCGTCTCCGTTTGAACATGGAGGCTTCAAACAGCGGCCAATGAAAGGCACTGTTTCTCCCCTGGAAGCAACGGGAGAGATATTCACGAAACGTATACGGCAGTCCAGCCTCCACAACCTTGAACCTAAACCTTCAACAATGTAAGCAAGCCAGACACAGCAGCCTCCCTAGAGACCTCAGCAAGAAAAGCCAGTCCCCAAGACCGGAGACACCCATCCCTTGGGGCCGGATCGGGCACGACATGGCACGACGAATTGGCTGAACACTGGCATTTCAGCCTCTTGGAAGGCTTTGCGCGCAGGTCTCCAGAAAGAATCTCCGGCCCTTGGCGAATGCAGCCACTTGGATTGGTACTGTACCCTCCCTTGCGCCCACGTGGAAAGCACCAAATGGCCCATGTCGGACAGTGTTCCTAATATTTCCCCTGTTAAGATGTGGTTGTAAACATCAGTGGGTTTTGTCTTATCTAAAGTCGCTTTGGGTGGGATGGTGACGATGGTGACAATGGAAAATATGGGGAGGGGGGGGGGCATGCCGCAGGGAAGTCATGTTCCTCGTGTTGGCGCCCAATTTTGCTCAGCCTCTTGATGGCCTTAGTGGCTGACGGCCAAATGCTGTTCAGTGCCATCATGTGGGCATCAATTATTTTTGAGCCCTGTGAAGAGCGTTAAGAGCCTTGCTTTGAAGGTGGGTGATCAGCTATGGAAGTTCTCAATCAAATCCCAAGCTGCTGAGCCTTGATCAGCGCCTATAGGGTGTTTCTCCGAGTGTTTCTCTCCGGCCTGGGCCCGTGAATCCCTTAAGACTTCTGAGGACGGCAGGCGGCTTCGATTGTTTCATGGGATTTGGCTTCTCAACTTGGTTCTGGTCTCCAGCAATTGTAGCACTTACGCTGGGCAACAAGCCAAGTAAATTTGACAAATCCTTGCCTCTTCCGTCAAGTGAGCATTTCCTGGCAAACTTGTTTGGGAATGATTCACCATCCGTGAACACTAAACTCAGTAAACATACGGTGAAAGACTGAACAAGCACCATTGAAACACTGCAAGATACTGCAAACAACTACATAAACACAACACTGTAAACATACTGCCAAAATACTGTAAAATTATTGCACAAATACTTCAAACACACTGAAAGCAAAGTCCACATCACGGAAATACTTGAATCTGTTGAAAAACTATTAAGTCTCATCGGAGAATTGTTTTTCTGTTTGTTGTCCTTCTCACTTTTGGTTGACATGATTTTCTGTCAAAACGCATGAGTGAAATTTGAGAATCACCATCTCAAAGTTCGGGCGCTGTGATGTTCGAGCTGCAGGTCATATTCGTCGTGCATAGGGCCTTCATTTTGCATAGGGCATTTGGCCAACCATTTTCTGTTATTAAACAAAGGCCAGGAGTGAGTCATTGAAACCCGAGGGCTCCTAGGGCCCCGGAGACGGGTCGCGATGGGCGATGAGGCCGTGTCGGAGGAGCCGAAGCCGCAGCCGAAGCCGAAGCCGAAAGCGGGCGGCACTGACTGGGCCGGGGCCCTGGGAGGAATCGATCGGCCGCGGTTTGGGTTGGTGGCTCCAGCCGTGGTGAGCGTTGTGTCGATATACAGCCAGCAGAGTCTGCATGGTAAACATGCAACGGATGATGCGCCTTTAGCAGGTAGTAAGTTGAAGATCACTCAGGGCCCCTTCAGAACTAGCTAGAACTCTTGCAGAGCCTGGGCACTTTGTACATGAGTCCGCCAAGGCATTTGGCCAGCTCAGTTGGTGCTTGTCAAATAATTTGAGGCAGCAGTGGAGCTGGAGCGACGAAGCCGCTTGGATTGGGTGGGTCTGGGTATGGGTATGTGTCGATGTGTTTTTGGTTTCCCTTTGAACAGCCCGACAAAGGGCACCCTCAAATAACCGGAGGGGACCCTATCCCGTGAGTCAAGCTAGCCAATGGCCATACTCCAACCAAGGGAACCATTTTGACAAGCCCAAGCAAGACCAAAACAGATTAGAGAAAACCAACAAAATCGAGAAAGCCAATAAAGGCACCGAAACCTTGAGAAAGACAAAAACAACTGGAGCAATCCAACAGCATGCTCTTTGGAAAACAGCTCATGTTGAAAGAGGTCTCGAGACATAGTTCTTTTGTTTTGTTTTGCGGAATGTTTGCTGGGCGTTCTCGTTTTTGCTTGTGTTTGTTTTCTCAAGGTCTTTTGCCTGGTTTTCTCGAGTTGTGTCTTGTTTGAGGGTTGTTTGATTTGTTTGGTGTTCTCTTTTGTTGGTTTTCTCGAGGTGTGTTTTGTTGTCTTAGTCTTCTCTTCAGTTGTGTTTGGTTTGTTACAGTAGGTGTTCCGATTTTAAGGGGCAGGCAAATTGGAAGCAACAACCAGCTTGTTGTTCCTTACCGTACTCTATGTACAGTTCAATTGATGTGTATAGGTATAAGTAACACCCAAGATACTTGGAAAGAGATTTGCCATAACAATTATAGTTGAATTACAGAGAAGCAACAACCAGCTGGGCTTTTCTTATTAGGTTCTAGTTATCTTATAGTTAGATTCTAGCCGAGGTCTAGTCAAATTATTAATAACATCTCGCAAAATAAGTCCCATTTAGAATTGGAAGGAATGCCTGGTTTAAGTCTATTCTGACCAATAATTCTAATTCACCTCGGAAATGAATCCGATGTTTCATCTAAATCAGTATGAGAGTTCGAATAAAATCCTAATTGAGGCCCTACTTCGAAGGGAAGTACTATTCAAAGTCCAACTCAAAGTAAGAACTTGAATTGGATTCTAATCGAAATCCCATTCTAAACTTGAAGCCCTACAGTTTAAAACTTGCTGCAATTGGAATACAATTTGCATGTTAGTTACTTGGAAAGAACATCAAAGGTTGATTCTACTTCAGAATATTATGTTAAGTTGAATTCTACTTTGGACATGATTTGAACTTAACGTGGTGCAATATACAACTTGTACACCAATGGAGCTGAATTGCGTTTTCCTTGAGTTTCTTCGGGCTTTTCACCCGTTTTGAGCGGCAGGAAAGTAAGAAAAATAGACCAGCGTGTCTTTCCATACTGGGTTATGTTTGAATATTAACTCACTTCTAATGCCAAACAGGAAGGGCAAGAGAGATGCGAATAGAATTGCGGCTATTCTGGCGTCAGCAACCACCATCATGTTATAGCATTCCTAGGGGACCCCGTTCAGTGATTCAGAACTCACAGTTGAAAGCACTCTTCGGCCAAGCAAGCGAACAACTTGCTCAAAATATCGACAAAACACAGACCCATGTGCAAGCGCCGCTTTTGTTGGGACAGGGGCCAGAAAGCAAATCCGGGCGCCAGGCTCTTGCCAGCCAAATACCGACAGACACAGGTCCTTGCAATGGTGCGCAAAAGTGGGTTCTGGAATGCCCCGCTGGGACTCAATTGCTTGTAGGCTGAAGCTTGATTGAAGTGAAACTCAACATTATAGAGCTACAGTATTTGCTTGGCCCCTGGGGACATTTCAACGTTTCGCCGCGTCATTGCCTGTCTTGCTGTTCTTCCAGGCGGCAGCCTCCCAAAGATGAGGCAAAGCAACCGCACATGCACACACAGTTACATTTATTGCCCGCAAATGGTGGACACGCCGTTCTGGGCGAATCAAAGCGACCTCACACAAGAAGCTTTCGGCTACACCGATACCATCATCACACAAGTTCTGGCGACTTGCAAACCAGAGCGTGCTGCCTTTGAAAGCATGACCTTCGTTGGATTGCGCTGAGTCATGTGTGTGTGTGTGATCCCGAATTGTGTTTTGGAGGGTTCCATTGCTTTTTGACCCACTGTTTATGGTTGGCTACTTCGGATTGTCTTTGTTTAGCGGCAAGCAGGATGCTTTTATTAGGAGTGTCTGCCAGTGAAGGAGCCAGCCTTTCCTGAACAGCTGCAGCAGGATATGGATGGTTGTTCTCCTCAGCGGCTTGCAGATCTTAGCATGCTTTCCAGTGCTGCAAGTGTGGCCAAAGGCGCGCACACTGGCAGAGTTGAGGTCGATTTGGCAGAGTGTCCCCAATCACCGGAGCACACCAGGTTCAAGTGCTTGCATGCACTGGGACAAATTCCAGCAACTTTGCAGGGTTTGCGACCTCACCCATGAAGGTTGCTTTCCAGTTGCTGAGGTTTTCATCAATTTTGATCGCATGGGTTCCCCCGAACCCCGGGCCTGATCCCTTGGCCACAGCTCAGGATTGGCGGAGGGCTTCCGCTCCGGCTTTGAGGAG